AATAGTTTCATACAATATGAAATTATCTCTCTCAGAGGACTCTGCCTCTTTGCCTTCCCCCAAGAGGTTTGTTTTAAGCAGATATCCTACTAGGTTAGGTTAGTTTAGTTTTACAAGTAAGAACTGGGTATAAATGTAGTCAGAATAAACTACAATAGGTTTTATTCAGAAGCATTGTTGTTGTCATAGAACTTAATATTGATGCATGTCTTTTAAAAAGCATTTTGTTGGCCGGGCTCGGTGGCTCACGCCTGTAATCTTAGCACTTTGGGAGGCCGAGGTGGGTGGATCACCTGAGGTCAAGAGTTCAAGACCAGCCTGGCCATCATGGTGAAACCCCATCTTTTAAAAAAAAGCATTTTGTCTCCTCAAAATCCTCAGATTGCAAATAACACTCTCTTTAATGTTTTCATAGCCATCTTGATAAAATACCACATCTGCTACTTGTTAAATTGTTCATGGACTTTTGCATTGTCCCTGTTTAACCATTAATATTCTTTCTCCTAATGAATGCCTTTAAAATTTTCCAGTTCAGAATTTACCTCTTTTTAATGAAAGATTTTGTATGGATTTATCAAATACATATATAGTTTGTACAAGGCTGATGGTAGAAAATATTTATAAGTTAGGTGACCATATGCTTTATCATCTAAATGAGGCGACTTTTAAGAGAGAGTGTAGGCGCTATTAATAATTTTTCTGGGGTAGTGAGCATAAATTAGAATTTTTCAGCACATAAACTGGGACTGTTTGGGCAAATGGGGAAATATGGTCATCTTGCTTCTAAGGAAAAGAGCAGTCCTTTTCTTTACCCTTTGCCCCATCTCTAGTTCCACTTTGGAAAGGCAGTGCCTCTCTACTGTTTAGCTGTTTGTTTTAGGACTTAGATACTTTAATTTTTCTGAACAGTGTGCTTATACTGTTATTTCATGATTTTTCATTGTTTTCTACCATTCTTATTTCCACTGCCCACTTTCATCTCACAAATTGATTCAGTAGTGTATATTTACATTATTATGCCTATGTAAATATTAAAGAGCTCACCTAATACAATCATGCCTCCTTTCATGAAAAGCTAAGTTTTCCCAAGTTAAAAAATTAATTTTTAAAATTGCCTTTTGTTCTGCATACACATTGTTTTTTCCAGTTGTACCACCACCTCCGCCACGTGCCAGTGAGATAAGTTTCCATGTGATGCTTTTTTTTTCTTAGAACTCCTGCCACCTCAGGTCCTGCTCCAGTCTGAACTGTTTGCTTTCTATATACCATCCTCCTTAACTTCCCCTTTATCATTGCTTCTTGGGTTTCTTACCTTGTTTCCTGCCCCACACTCCCATTTTTCTAGGACATGCTCTTCATTTAGCTTCCTCTGGTTGTATTTTTGGTCATTTGGTTTTGTTGTGACTTTGCATGTCTGAAAACATGTTGTGTTCTCCACTTCAAATGTACTTGCTAGATTGAAATCCAAGGCTAAACATTTTTCTCAGTATTATAAGCATTATTTCATTGTCTTAAGACTTTTGTTGCTGTTAAGCCATTCTGAGTATGTTCTCTTTGTATGTGACCCATTTTTTCCTCTCTAGTAGGATCTTCCTGTTACTTCTGGTTTTCTGCAGTTTCAAGATGATATATTTTGCTTAGTGTTGGTCTTTTTTTCTTTGATCCCCTTATGTAGCCTTGAGCCCTTTGAATTTTGAGATTTATGTTCTTCATTTCTAGAAAAGTTTATTTATTTGGTAGTTTTCTCTGTATTTCCTTTTCCCATAACCACAGTCAAATGATAACTCTCTGGATAATTATTTTCATGTTACATTTGCCATTTCTTTTGGTTCTGCTTTCCAGGAAGTTTCTGCAACTTACTCCCAGTCCTTATGTTAAATTTATTTCGGCGTATCTTATTTTAACAAGTATATGGCATTTTGAATTTCCATAAGCTCTTTATTATGCTCTCTTTGTATTCTCACACATCCTGTTCTTATTTTATGGATGAATGTTATTTGATCCCTGTGAGGATAGAAATAAGCCCCTTTCCCCCAAATTTTCCTCTCCCTGCACCATCTTAAAAGTGTTGTTGTTGTTGTTGTTGTTGTTTATTTTGGTCCTTCTTTCATATTGGAGACCTTCCTTGATTACTTGTTGGTTCTTGATGTTTGTCAGTTAGAGGGAAGCACTAAAAGTCCTGATTAGAAACTCTAGGTGACCAGCAGCTTTTGCTGTAGGACAGAATGGTCTAATGAAGGCTAGCTTTTGAAGTGGAAACATTTCAAATGACATTCAGAAATCTTATCACTGGTGTGTGGTGATCCAAGAGTAGAAGCCTTTAGTCTCTCGACAGCATTGTAGAAACAGGACCTTGAAAGAGTCTTTGGGTCTCAATATTATTGAGTATATATATTTTCTTGTATTCCTTTTACTGACCCATACCTAAACTCCTGCAGAGATGATTGTACATTGTGTGTGGGAGTTGGGGGAGCGGAGAACACAAGAGTGTTACCTAGGAAATCTTTATTTTCCAGAGTATAAATAGCCTATCTTTAGAGGAATGGAACTGGGAAAGAATCTGAGGTTCTGTTGCTCCAGATACAGGTTTTAATTCAACAACTTGCTTGTTATAATAAAATAACAACTTGCTTTCCAACTACATGCACCCTGCCCCCCCCACTTGTTTATTATAACAACAAGTTGCGGGGGGGCAGGGTGCATGTAGTTGGAAAGCAAGTTGTTGAATTATTCGAGGGTGCATGTAGTTGGAAAGCAAGTCGTTGTTTTATTATAACTCAAGTTGGGGGGGAGGGTGCATGTAGTTGGAAAGCAAGCTGTTATTTTATTATAACAAGTTGGGGGGGGAGGGGGCATGTCAGATAAAATACTGAGAACAGAATTATTGGAGGGTGCATGTAGTTGGAAAGCAAGTTGTTACTTTATTATAACAGCAAGTTGGGGGGAGGGTGCATGTCAGATAAAATACTGAGAACATAATAAATTTTACCATCTTAACCATGTTTGTGTACAATTCAGTATTATTGAATGCATTTCATAATGTTGTGCAGATATCACTATCATCTATGCCCGTAACTCTTCATCTTGTAAAACCAAAATTTCATACTCATTAAATAATAGCTCCCCATCTCCCGCCAACCACCAATCTTCTTTCTCTGATTTGACTACTCTTAATACTTTATTTTTGATGTATCTTTTCTATGTTCAGATATACAAATACTTACCAATGTGTTACAGTTGTCTACAGTATTCAGTACAATAACATGCTGTATAGGTATGCTGCCTAGAAACAATAGGTTATACCATATAGTCCACGTATTAGACTGTACCATCTAGGCTGTGTATATACACTGCTAATGTTCACACAATGACAAAATCACCTAAAGATGCATTGCTTAGAATATATTCCCATTCTTGAGTGATGCATGACTATACATACAATGCAATATTATTCAGCCATAAAAAGTAAGGAAATTCTGGCATATGGTATAGATGAACTTTGAGGACATTAGGGTAAGTAAAATAAGCGAATCACGAAAAGACAAATACTGTACGATTCCACTTATATGAGATACAGTCAGAGGCTTTGTAAGTCTTTGCCTTAGAAAACTTTAAAAGCTTTTAAGTTTATCATAGTAATGTCATTATAGCAGCACTGTTTATTATAGCCCCCAAATGGAAACAGTCTAGTGTACATTTATGGTAGAATGGGAAAATAAGTTGTGTGCATTCATATAGTGGAACGCTATGTACAGAAATTAGAGTGAACTTAAAACTGCATGCAACAACACTGATGAATCTCACAAATATAATGTTGAGCAAGTGAAGCTGGACACAATATTGTATAATTCCATTTATATATAATTATTCATAGGTAATTGTTGTGGGTTTAGAAATGTTTAGTGAAGAAAACTTGGAAATTATTAAACTTTAAAGTGAAAAGCACTCAGTTCCACAAAATAAATTTAACATTTTGGGGTTTTTTTTCCTGAGAAGTTTTATTCATTTTATTTGTGTAGTTAGAATCATGCTGCATGTGTAGTTTTGTAGATTGACCTTTTCACTTAAAATGTCACTTTCCAGTAGTACCATAAACAATCTTTGAAAACATTTTGAGAAATACTTTATTAGCTCTGTGATCATGTGCAAATTACTTAATCTCTCAGTGCCTGTTTTCTCATTTATAAAGTGGAGATAATATAGTACCTGTCTCATGGGGTTGGTCTGGAGATTCAATGAACTAACATAATCAGAAGGTCCTTATTCTCAGATCTTGCCATATAATACTTAATAAATATCAGCTATTGCTATTATTTTTGTTATAATTAAGGGGTCCTATGAGTGGTAAATAAAAAGTTTATCATTTTTTCATTTTGACTTGTGTTTATTGAGTACCTGTTAAACCCCAGGCAGTGATTTTTAAATACTTTAAATGATTCTGACCTAGAAATTCACTGTTGAGACAGGGAAATAGAAGGGTAAACAAGTTACAATGCAAAGTAGCATGAAAGGTATGTACGAAGTGGAAACATACAGAGAAGAAAGCTACTTGTGTTTAAACTGATGACCAAGAATTGGGTGGGGAATGTATAGACTTTCCAGACACATAGAAAAGTTTGTGAGAGGTATGCAAATAGTATAACAGGTATGAGCATTGAACCCTAAAAATAAAGAATACCAAGATAGTCAAGGACAAATTCATGTAGAATATGTAGTAGACAAAATTAAGTAAGGGAAAGAGCCCAGATTTTGGAAAAAGCAGACCTCAAAATTCTTTATGCCACTTTTACCATGTTTGTTTGCTTCCTTTTATGGATGGTAGGAAACCTTTGATGAACTGCTTTGCAGTAGAGAGGTGGTGATTGTTTCACAATTTACCTTGTCAGATATAGTTAATTTGCATGGTTAATTTTTTATTTGAGCTGATGATTAGGGAGGATTAAGCATTAAAGGCTTTCATGTTTTCCCAAAGGCAATTAATGAAAATTTGCATTTCACAGAAAAATCTTTAAGAATGGAGTCTAAACCTTCAAGGATTCCAAGAAGAATTTCTGTTCAACCCTCCAGCTCCTTAAGTGCTAGGATGATGTCTGGAAGCAGAGGAAGTAGTTTAAATGATACCTATCACTCAAGAGACTCTTCATTTAGATTGGATTCTGAATATCAGGTAACATTTTCATTTGCAATATATGTAAACAGCCTTTTTCAAAATCCCTAGGACCACTCTTGGGGGATTTTTAAAATGTAGTAGCTGGGTCTGAGGCATCCTCTAATCAAAACCAATATATCTGTAGCAAAATGGATAACATTTTTCAAACTTTTTGGACTTTGGAATGATGGATAGCAGAATGTAACCTCATAAAAAAACATACTTTAGGGCTGGGCATGGTGGTTCACACCTGTAATCCTAGCACCTTGGGAGGCTGATACAGGCAGTTCACTTGAGGTCAGGTGTTCGAGACCAGCCTGGCCAACATGGCGAAGTCCCATCTCTACTAAAAATACAAAAAAATAGCTGGGCATGGTGGCACATGCTTGTAATCCCACCTACTTGGGAGACTGAGGTGGAAGTATTGCTTGAACTGAGGAGGTAGAAGTAGCAGTAAGCCGAGATCATGTGACTGTACTCCATCCTGGATGACAAAGTGAAACACTGTCTCAAAGAAAAAAAAAAAAAAAAGCTTTCCAAAGACTTGGAAAACTTTACCCATAAAAATATAAGTATCAATTTAAGTATAAATTTAAGGTTGTCAGTCAATGTGACTGGCTTTGTCAGAGGAACAAAAACTGTATCCTTTTCCTGGAAGAGCATACTTATTCATCTGACTTTTCTCTGCATATACACAAAGCAGTGTGGAATAACAAATGTTAAGTGTTTTTCTTTGAGAATACAACTTCTAAATATTTTGCTTTGAGTGATTTTTAAATTAACAGGTTATCTTATGAAAGTGCTAAAAATCTTTTACATGAATTTTTAAATTTTATTTTTATGGTGAGTAATGAGTTTGTATTGATGTGTCCATCTACACTTATGTAGCTAGTTTTTCTTAGGACCAAAAGCTTTTTGTTTTGTTTTGTTTTTGGGTCTTGCTATTGCCCAGGCTGGTCTCAAACTCTGGCTCAAATGATCCTTTCACCTCAGTCTCCTTAGTAACTAAGATTATAGGCATACAACCCCCATGCCTGACTAGTTCTTTGGCTTTTGAAATGGCTTATCATTGTAACAAATTTAAGCTCCTTACATTTTTGGCTGAACCTTATAATTAATGTTTGATTTGCAAAAGTCTGATTTTGAGGTACCCCGAAAGCATCCTTTGAAAATTTGTTTGTGTTAAGTATTTATATATTTATGTGATCTGACATATGACACAGTCTCAAAAATATTCATACACAGTAGTAAGCATTCTGTAAAACATTCAGAGCAAGACTGAAGTTAAAAAACAAACTAAAATGCCCATATCTGCTACCCACTTCTTAACTGACTTTATATGAACTGTTTACCTGGTCTCTATTTTATTTTAAACTCCAGCTCAATGGAACCTAGTCTCATTTTAAATGTCAATTGATACTGTACTTTTTCTGTTGCTAGACAAATTTATGCCTCCTAGAGGTGTAGAATCATATATTTTGCTTTCTGTGGAAATGTTGTGGTGACATATAAAGGGTACAGAATTATGTTTTACCTTATCTTCGTAAAATTTTGTCTACTCGTTTTTGTCTCATTCTAAATATATGTATAACTTATTAATGAGGAACACAAACTTTGAAACCAGACTATATTGTCTAGAGAGAAGGAGTCCTGTTTCATCACTTACTAGCTATTGACCTCTTTTTCTGTTATTGTTTTTGATTTGTTTGTTTGTTTGAGACAGGATCTCACTCTGTTAACCAAACTGGAGTGAGTGGTGCAATCACAGCTCACTGCAGCCTGCAGTTCATTGCACCCAGTCGACATCTTTTTGTTTTAGTATCACCTTATCCAGTTGTTACAGTTACATGGCTTAATGCTGTATGTTTATACTGCCTGGCATATGATAAACACTATATACATGTTAGCTGCTGCTGCATTTGTTTTTTATAATTGTTACAGTAATTATCATAATAGTGTAGGTGTTCAAATCTTGAATATATTTAGTAAATTTATTTGCTCCTTAAGATATGACTTTTTTCAAAATGTTTTTCTAACTTGTTAATGTTGTAGATTATTCAAAAACTCCATTTCTTACTATGTTAAACAAATAGCAGCATTAAAAAAATTTTTTTTAATGTCGTTTCAGTGACTTCAAAATGACCCCACCTAAGTGGTGGTTGTAGTAACATATTAGTGTTGAATTCATTCTGTTCCAAAATTTTATTTAAATACCAAAGTAAAATACAAAAATATCTTGCAGACATCCAAAAACCAAACCAAATAGAATTTTTAAATCTTTATTGATTCTTAAGATAAATTATTTTTATAAATTTTAGGGATTTTTCTTAAAGCCTTTTAGTTGCTTTAAATTGCATACAGTCAGTTTTTTTTTTGTTTTTTTGTTTTGTTTTGTTTGAGATGGAGTCTCACTCTGTTGCCCAGGCTGGAGTGCAGTCGCACAATCTCGGCTCAGTGCAACCTCCACCTCCCGGGTTCAAGCGATTCTCCTGCCTCAGCCTCCCGAGTGCCTGGGATTACAGGCGCCTACCACCATGTCCAGCTAATTTTTGTATTTTTAGTAGAGGCGGGTTTCACCATCTTGGCCAGGCTGGTCTCAAACTCTTGACCTCATGATCCACCCACCTCGGCCTCCCAAAGTGCTGGGATTACAGGCATGAGCCACTGCACCTGGCCACAATCAGTTTTTTAAACTTTTTTTCTTTATAATGGTATGGGAGTAGTTTCAACCATAAATCAACTATTTTTAGCCTCTTTTGCTTTTTTAGTTTTGATTTAGAAATTGAAACTTTTGTGTTCTTGAACGAAGTATTTTACTTTTTTTTTTTTTAGAGATGAGGTCTTGCTGTGTTGCCCAGGCTGGATTCAAACTCCTGGCCTCCAGCAATTCTCCCACCTCACCTTTCCAAAGTGATAGAATTACAGACGTGAGCCATCATGCCTGGCCAGTATTTTATTTATCTGTTTTTTCTTTTGTAAAATGGTGATAATGATAGTGGTTTCTTCATATAGCCACTGCTGTTCATCTTATTGTTAAGAAAGAAAGAGTACATGTGCCTAGAACATAGTATAGGGGTTCAGATGTTACCAATTATAATTATTTATAATTGTTACTTTTACTGTTACCATTATTATTTCCTGGCTTTACATTGGTTTAAGTAGATAGTATCTTTAGGGGATAGTATGATGTTACCCAAATGTTAAATTAGATATAGTATGTTTAGTTTTATTTAGCATTATTAAGACTACTCAGTGTCAAAGGGAGCATTTTAAAATTTTTTAGTTTTGGAGACAGGGTCTCACACTGTCACCCAGGTTGGAGTGTGATAGCACGATCTCAACTCACTGAAGCCTCTGCCTCTTGGGTTCAAGCAGTCTTCCCACCTCAGGCTCCTGAGTAGCTTGAGAAAGACAGATACTTGTGTCAATTCATCGATAAGGTTCTGAAATTTAGAAATATAAGTGGTTTCTCTCAGTTACATGATTATTATGTAATATACTTGAGCTTAAGAATCCCGACTCTGAATAGCATTGTTTCTTTGGGAAAATGTAGATTCTAAGTTCCGAACAGTTAATTTCCTAAATATCTTTTGGTTCTCAGCCATTTGTAAGCTGGACTTCATCTGTTTATTAATCTTGCTGTTATTTCTGTTATCCCATCTTTAAATTTTTATTACAATTTGAATGATTGAAAACTATGATCATCTTACTTCTTTAGTAACAGTAAGCAGAATTAACATTTTTAAAAAAGAATTTAATTTCTATAATTTGTATTGTTAAAAGTAAAAACTTGTGTTATTCGTGAATATGTAATTTTTTATGTTGTTTTGGTATATTTTTCTGTAACTTTAAGGAAACACTAATCTGTTTAGTGTTTGTTCTGACTATTTTGCTTTTTGAGAGGTTATTTTTAATATGAAATAATTTTAAAAGACTTTTTAAAGTTATTGATACCTTTTTTTTAGTTTGTAGATAACTGCTATAGAGATCAGTACCATTGCATATTTTGCGTAGTATAGAACCAGTGGTCATTAATTTTCAAAAACTCTGCCTTATACAAGTGTAGCTTATAAGGAAATAAATTTATTAATGTATATACAGTTAAACAAGAAAATGAAAAGAGTTTAAAATAGGATAAGGAAAAATACAAATAGAATACTGAGAGTAATAAATAAAATACAAAAAATGGGTCAGGATTGTAACATCGATAGGCATTACATAAACCCTGAAGCATTTTTAAGTCAAACTTGAACTCTTATTTTAGGTATCAAGAAGATCACAGGAAAATACAACTAGCTCTATAATGGGTATTGCATATAAGAAAAGAGGCCAGGCATGGTGGTGCATTTGTGTAATCTCAGCCCTTTGGGAGGCCAAGGTGGGAGGATCACTTGAGGCCAGGAGTTTGAGACCAGCCTGGGTGACATAGTTGGACCCTTCTCTAAAAAAAAAAAGCCAGGCATAGTAGTACATGTATAGTCCCAGCTACTCAGGAGGCTGAGGCAAGAAGATTGCTTGATCCCAGGAGGTTGAGGTTGCAGTGACCCTATATCATGCAATTGCACTCCAGCCTGGGTGACAGAATAAGACCCTGTCTCAAAAAGTAAAAGATTTACCATTCCTCAGAGGAAACACAAATCTTGTCAGTTTCGTCTGAAAGTGTACAGTGGAGTGACAGGAGTTTCTTCTACATTGGTGTGGAGATGGGTACTCTCCATCACATGAATATTTAAAACAAGGAAGAGCTGAAAGTCTTAGGTTGTTGGGTAATTTTGGTCTGGAAATTTTTTGAAAGCAGGATTTATTTACTTCACAGTCAAGGCATTAACTCATGGAAATAAGGAGCCCAGGAAAAGAATATCATTCTGGGCTTGCTTTTGTTCCTGTGTATTACATGATTTTTAATGATTAATCATTTCCCAGTGGATAACCTTGATGTAAATTTGCAGATGTCTTTAAAGCTCTTTTTTAAGAAATGGCTTTATTAAGTTATAATTTCACATACCATAGAATCTGCCCATTTAAAGTTGAGTAGCCTTTAGTATATTCACAGAGCTGCACAACCATTATGGTTATCACTGTGCTACTCCTCTAGTCCCCCTTCCCCTACCAGTGCAAAACAACCATTAATCGACTTTCTATCTGTAGATTTCCCTATTTTGGATTTTCAGATACATTAGTCAAAACATGTACTTTTGTTAGTAACTTCTTTGACTTAGCATATTTTCAGTGTTCATCTATGTTGTAGCATATATCAGTACTTTATTATTATTATTTTTTTTTAGCAGAATACTATTTCATTGTATGGATATGCCATATTTTGTTTATCCATTCATTTTCTGATGAACATTTGGCTTGTTTCTACTTTCTGGCTATTATGAATACTGCTGCTATAAACATTCATATGCAGGTGTCTGTGTGGATTTGTGTTTTCACTTGTCTTTGATATGTACTAAGAATAGAGCTGGGCACGGTGGTTTATGCCTGGAATCCCATCACTTTGGGAGACCAAGATGGCAGGAGTATTTGAGGCCAGGAGTTCAAGACCAGCCAAGGCAACATAGTGATACCCCATCTCTACAAAAAATTTTAAAAACTAGCCTGCTATGGTGGTGCATAAGTGTAATCCTAACTTTTTGGGAGGCTGAGGTGGGAGGATCCCTTAAGCTCAGAAGGTTGAGACTTCAGTAAGCTATATTGGCACCACGTTATTACTGCTTGGGCCATAGAATGAGACCCTGACTCATAAAAGAAAGGAATGGAATTGCTGAGTCATGTGTAACCTCTGTGTTCAATCATTTGAGGAACTGCCATACTGTTTTCAAACTGGCTAGATCATTTTACATTCCCATTTGTGTATATGAAGATTCCGGTCTCTCCACATCCTCACCAATTACCTGTCTTACTTTTTGATTCTAGCCATCCTAATGGGTATGAAGTGGTATGTATTTCATTTTGGTTTTGATTTGGATTTTCTTGATGACTAATGATGTTGGACATCTTTTCATGTGCCAATTGGCCATTTACTGTACATTTTTGAAAAATGCCTATTTATAATAGCTGCTTTGCTCATTTTAAAATACAGTTGTCTTATTACTGAGTTGTAGGTGTTCTTTACATATCCTAGATACTGTACAAGTTCCTTGTTGGATACATGATTTGCAAATATTTTCTCATTAAGGTTTTTACTTTATTGGATTGTTTTCAAGGCATTTGTGTTGTGAAAATATTTTTAAACCTTAGAAATAATTTTCTGAAAGCATATGTTGATTTATACAATCGTAATAGTAAATTTCATTGACTATAGTTCTAGTAAACCTCTTGTTGTAAAGGTGGTATGAATAACTATTATGAAGGTATATAGAAATAAAATGAAAATTGAATGCCTACCAGTTATATAAAGTTATTTTCTTTCCATTGTACACAGAGCATCTGTAGTTATTAAGTCTCCAAACTGTCTTATTGATGATTTCTCAGACATACAGTATACTCTTTCAGCTCCTTTGGTTGGGCTAGATAGCCTTCTACCTCTCCCCTTATTTTTCACATTATAATTCACATACCATAGAATTCATCGTATCACAGATGGCCTTTTGAATTGGAATCACTGATGAAAAGTATTTACTCTGGGAGCCAAATCTGGGTAGAGACTGGAAAGTTAATGAAAAAGAAAACTCTTAAATTTACTCCAGTGTAAATTTAATTACTTCCATCTAGTTGCATATGAGTACTGATAGTTGGGAGGCAAGAAATGCCAAAAAAATTTTTTTTAAAAGATTAATTGGTTTTTATAAAAACACACTTTTTTGCGTAAAAAAGTTTGTATGCATTGATACCAAGAGAGTGAAAGACAGTCTGTAGAATGAGTGAAAGTATTTGCAAAGCATATATCTTACTGGATACTGGGACTTTTATCCAGATTATATGAAGAATTCTTACCTCTCAGCAATAAAAGATAACCCAATTTCACATGGGCAAAGGACTTTAATAAACATTTTTTCCAAAGATACATTAATGGCTGATGAACACATGAAAAAAATATTAGTCATTAGGGAAATACAAGTCAGAATTACAATGAGAAACTTAACACCCACTAGCATAAAATAAAAAAGATGGACAGTCTTGGTACAGTGACTCATGCCTGTCATCCCAGGGAGGCCAATTTTGGGAGGCCAATCTGGGAGGATTGCTTGAACCCAGGAATTTGAGACCAGCCTGTGCAACATAATGAGGCCCAGTCTCTACAAAGAAATAATTTAAAAATTAGCTGTTCATGGTGGCCCATGCCTGCAGTCTCAGCTACTCTGGAGGCTGAGGTGGAAGGATTGCTTGGACCCAGGAAATCAAGGCCACAGCCGCCTGTGATTGCATCACTGCACTCCATCCTGGGCAACAGAGCTGAGACCCTGTCTCAAAACAAAACAAAACAAAAAAAACAAAAAGGTGAACAATTACAAGTGTTGGTGAGTGGTGGAGAAATTGGAACCTTCATACATTGTCAATGGGATTGTAAAATGGTACAGCTGTCACAGGATCCTTGGAGTGTTACTTTTCCAGCTGGAAGCCTCTGTGGCGGTGGTGCCTTTGTCCGAGTTTTGCTCGGGCCCACTGGGCTTATTCTGCCTACTTGGCCTGGCAGGCTTTGCTTAAGTCATGCTGTTGGCTGAGATCCCATGCCTGCCAAGGGTGGGGCAGACACGGATTGGGAGAGGGGTGTGTGAGCAAGTGAGCTCAGAATCCGGCCATTGCCTACAGCCAGGCATGCTGGGTGCAATGGGGTGGGCAGCTCTGGGTGCTGGCACCCTGTGAGGCTGTGGGTGAACCAGGAGTACCACAGGCAGCTTCTACTGTGGGCACCGAGCAACGTGGTGGCACCCAGAAGCTTGGAGACACCAGGAACCACAGAGCCCCCAAGAGGTTGTCACAGCCCTGGTTTGTGGAGCCCCTAGGTCTGGGCTCCTGGAAGGATTAGAACACTTCCACAGTGCGCGGGGATAGGGAGGGATGTTTTCAGCACTGTTTGTGTTACATTTCTCCGAGTCCCACCATTTGACAGGTCCCAAGTTCTTGTCCCCTGCCCATAAAGAATGAGGTATGCAGACAGTTGGAGGGTGAGCAAGGTGAAGAGGTGCTTTATTGAGCAGTATAGTACAGCTCTCAGGAGACCCGAAGTGGGTAGCTCCTTTCCTCAGGCAGGTCAACCCAATGAGTATGTAGCTCTCAGTAGAGAGGAGACCAGGCAGGAGTGGGTAGCTCCTGTTCATAGGCAAGTTAGCCTGACACCTAGCTGAGTCTGAGATTTTTATGGGCTTCAGAGGGGAGGAAGTGCATGCTGATTCATCCATGGGAGGCCATGGTGGGCCTGGAATAAGTACCATAAGTTCTCACTCTGGACTGTGGAACTGGCAGCCCAGCCTCCAGGCTTCAGGCCATCCCTGGTTTGAAGGTGGGGTTTCACTGGGGACCTGCACCTTTTTACCCAAGAGCATGTCTGCCTCCTGCTGCTGTTTGTGGCACCCAGGCTGTTGGTGCTAAGGGATGTCTGCAGGCCCATGCCAAGCTGCCCTCAGTACCCCCTTGGCCTCCGTCTGTGCTTCTTGGTGCATAAAGTCCAGAGGGGGCAAAGGCACCAGGGGGCTGGTGTGTTGGTATCACCCCGAGCATGCGAATACACAGCTAGGTCTTGACAGTGCCCAAGCTTAGCCAAAGCTTTGCTCCGATCAGGAGCTGTGGGGGAAAGGGAGGTTTCCCAGGCTCCTTAGAGCACAGGAATACTGAGGTCTGCAGCCACATCTGGGTCTGGGAGCACAGGGCTCCCACCGTACCAACTTGGAAGTGGTTGGGGTTCCCACCTGTTGCTGGCTTCATGGAGCACAGAGACCCTGCCACGCCTCCTCTGCTGTGGCCGGCGCATGTGGCAGCCACTCCAGACGGGCCGCCGCTGCCATCACAGCTATTAGCATCAACCTATAGTTCGAAAAATAGTAATTCCCTAAAATATTAAACATCAAGTTACTACATGATCTATCAGTTACACCCAAGATTATTGAAAACATACATCCACACAAAAGTTTACAGTTCATAGCAGCATTATTTATAATGGCCAAAAAGCAAAAACAACCCCAAAACTAATTGTTTAAACAATTCGTTATGCCCAAGGTAGTATACTTTGAAGACAGACAGACTTACTCCCTGATTTCATTTGGCCTGTAATTCTAGACAACAGAAGAGATAATATATTGTTAAATGAATCTAACATTTTATTTAATTGTTCAAAGAATTCAGAGGGAAAAATCTAATTGTTTCAGACGAGGATATTTGAACAAAAAGGGACAAAATTGGATTGTAGGAACCAGGAAAAGGTTTGATTTTGAACTTAAGCCAATAGCAAAACTAGCCAAAACCTTCCTCCTATATACTGACATTACTTATACTGATATGTATACCTACATATTAATAAACATTTTTTTGTCTCGGATATAGCCATACAATCTACATGTTGTGTCGTGAGTCACGAAAATTGTTTAATGAACAGTGAGTGTCTGTAAGCCTTTGGGTACTTGCATTTAAGAATTGAAAATGAAATTCATTATCTAAATTTGTTTTCCTATAGTTGGTATTTTTAATGAATGGCATAGTCCTTTATCTCACCAGTAGACAGTACCAAAAAACTGTTTTTTCATTTCTCACATTGTCCGTAAATCTGATGAATTTTTATCTTTTATAATTCCTCTCTATTCCCATTACTTATTTCACACTGACTTATTTCTTGCTATTCTAATGACTTCCTAATTGGTTTCTTTCTGTTAGTTTCATCTATTTCATCTTCCACATGCCTCTAAAAGTCTTTCTGTATAGTAGTAGACGTGATGTATTCCCCCTTTGTTAGTTCCCAAAATCATGTTTGCAGAAGTGCTATTCAGTAAGTTTATGCGGTGCATCCAAAATGAGAAAAATAACAAGTTATGGAGTTTGTTCAAGTACAAATGCATCCAATTTAAAATACTCATTTTGAATTATCCTTCAAGTTTTGGGAGTATATTAAAATACCTTTTTAAAAATTGGAGACAGGATTAGGTATTAGTTGCTATTTTAGATTTCCTACTGATCAAAAGTGATAGTTCTTTTTAAATTTTAAATTAAAACATTTTTATTTTGGTCTCTGAAATCCAGAGATTTTAGAACCACTGGCCTGCGGGGTAAGGTCCCTGATACCTTGATGATAATGGCACATGAAATGATTTGATTCTGAAATATCAGATTAATTTCATTTCTTGTGCTAGCTCCAGTTTATTGATTAGATGTCTGTAATATTAGGTACAGAAGGCTTGTGAGGCTAAGTTTGTGCTAAGCTAAAAAATGCCATATTTGCCGGGCGCGGTGGCTCAAGCCTGTAATCCCAGCACTTTGGGAGGCCGAGGCGGATGGATCACGAGGTCAAGAGATCGAGACCATCCTGGTCAACATGGTGAAACCCCGTCTCTACTAAAAATACAAAAAATCAGCTGGGTATGGTGGCGCGTGCCTGTAATCCCAGCTACTCAGGAGGCTGAGGCAGGAGAATTGCCTGAACCCAGGAGGCGGAGGTTGCGGTGAGCCGAGATCGCGCCATTGCACTCCAGCCTGGGTAACAAGAGCGAAAACTCCGTCTCAAAAAAAAAAAAAAAAAAAAAAAATGCCATATTCAATTTACAAAATATTCTCTAGGCAAAGGATGGGCGAAATCCTGAGATAGCCCATTCCCAACTTTTCAGCCTCGCACCTTTTACTTTATTTTCAAAGTTCCTTCTCCAGTGTTAACATGAACTAATACATCCCCTGAATGCATGCAGTATGTTTCTCATAATTGAAACATAATTGGCTGGGTACGTTGCCTTATGCCTGTAATCCCAGCACTTTGGGAAGCTGATGCAGGAGGATCACCTGAGCCAAGGAGTTCAAGCTTGAGCAACATAGTGGGACCCCCATCTCTACAAAAAATAAATTAAAAAAATTAATAATTGAAGTATAATAGAAGATCAAGTATATGTCTTAGAAGAAAGCCAGGCCAGATGTGGCTCACACCTGTAATCCTAGCACTTTGAGATGCTTACTAAAGCAGGAGTATTGCTTGAGCCCAGGAACTCAAGCAGCTTGGCAACATAGTGAGACTCTGTCTCTACAGAACAAAAATTAGCCAGCCAGGTTGGCATGGGCCTGTGGTCACAGCTACTCTGGAGGCTGAGGTGGGAAGATCAAGGCAGCAGTGAGCTGTGATTGCGCCACTACACTCCAGCCTGGGCAACAGAGTGAGGCCTGTCTCAAAAAGACAAAACCAAAATACCTGGTGGCAAAATGGCTTATACATCTTTTTATGTTGTCTATTTGTAATGTCTTTTTTCATTTACCTACCCTGTGAACTCTAGTTACCACCTTCTTTGACTCTTCTCCTGCATCCTTCAAACATAGGCTTTTTCTGTAAAACTTTCATTGTATCTACTACTATAGTACTTATTTATATTATAATTATTTACTTATCTGTTAGCTGTACTTCAGAGCTTTGATGGAACACATTATTTGGGCTCTTGTGTTTATCATGTGAATTTTAGATTAATGTAGACTGAAATTATGGCCTGTCATGCATTCCATTTTAACTCTTGTTAGAAGAACATTTAAAAGAACTTGGTTTCATTTTAATATTCTTTAGTATAATAAACTGTTTACCACATATTTAACCCATGGTAACATGCTTTAAAAAATTGTTTTTATATCCAGAAAAATTACTTTTGTTTTAGAGGTCCTTACTATCTCTGAGCCATTTAGATTATATGCCAGATGTATATTTCTTAGTCTGTCTGTGTCCTGTCTGCATGTATTTGTCCTGGTAAGTACTTTGCCATGATGGAAACAATTTTGTAAAAAGAATAGTACAATTTCAATAATTGTGGTTGAAATATGTTGTCATTTAGACCTAAATATTTAAAGAGACACACTAATCCTTTTTTAGTGCATTGTAGTAAGTGAACCTAACCAATTAAAGAATTGGGGAGAAGTAAAATAGTTTGAATATTATCAGTGATATTTGTGTTATGAGCTTTATTTCGTGTACATATATGTTAAAATAGAAAACCATGAGCCAAGTTTTAAAATATGTACTTGTTTTAGTTGTTGATTGATGAAAAAATTTCTGATGTTAGGATTTTTTTTTTCTTTTTTAGCGTACCCTTAGTAGTGTTGTATGACTGTATTCTGGAGACTAGGCATCAGAACAAGGATGTTAGTTGAAAAATCTGATTTTCATAGTAGGGTAATTCACAATCTCTTTATAGCTTAGTGTTCTGTCTACCTCTAAGAGGAAACAGGGTTTCTCAAAAGATTGAAATATGAAACAAGTGCAACAAGGATTCCATTTTCAAAAAGAAAAAAAAAAACTTGAAATGTTAAACCAGGAAAAATAATTACAGTTTTTGGTCTTCAGTGTTTCATAACCAAGTATTTCTATGTAGTTAAAAGGAGAACTTACTCTAAATCAGATTGAGAGCCCAGGAAAGTACAATTATGTATAGTGTATAGTAAATGGACAAGTGGGTAGAAGAAACAAAGACTAACGAAGAGCTACGTAATAGAGGCTGGGCGTAGTGGCTCACATCTGTAATCCCAGCACTTTGGGAGGCAGAGGTGGGTGGATCATGAGGTCAGGAGTTTGTGATCAGTCTGACCAACATGGTGAAACCCTGTCTCTACTAAAAATACAAAAATTAGCCTGGTGTGGTGGCACGCACCTGTAATCCAAGCTACTCAGGAGGCTGAGGAAGGAGAATTGCTTGAACCTGGGAGGTAGAGGATGCAATGAGCCGAGATTGTGCCAGTGTACTCCAGGGCTGGGCAACAGAGCAAGACTCCGTCTCAAAAGAGAAACAACAAACTACACAGTAGAAAAATTGACATTTATGGGAATTTATTAGAGGGTTGTGGGTTAAATTTAATACTGAATGCAGCCTTTTATTGTTTAAAAAAATTTTTTGAACTTACAGTCTACATCAGCATCAGCATCTGCATCACCATTTCAATCTACATGGTATAGTGAATCTGAGATAACTCAGGGAGCACGCTCAAGATCGCAGAACCAGCAACGGGATCATGATTCAAAAAGACCTAAACTTTCTTGTACAAATTGTACTACCTCAGCTGGTAGAAATGTTGGAAATGGTTTAAATGCGGTATCAGGTAAGAATTAAGTTTCCGTAGGTATTTTAAGCCTGCTTTTTCCCCAGGTATAACACAGTTGTTCTTAGTTTCGGAATGAAGAAAGTAGATTTTATATGGAGACAGTGGCTCAGAAATGTAGTGGAATTTCCAAAATCTTACTTTAAATTAGTGCTAGAACTGATATTGACTCTTCTGCATTTTTTGTTGTATATTTGATATAGATATCCTACATAAACAGGGTATTAGTAGATTTTAATTAGAATAGCTGGTGTTACATGGTAATCAAATTGGTAAATGTGTATATTCTTTTGGTTATTATATTGTTATAAGGAAAGCTAAATCTACTGACATGTATTTAAAATATTGCTTAAGCATGTCTTATGTAAATGATAAACATTGTAGTATGTAATATTTTCAGAAAATATGGAAACACTCCTGGTCATGGTGGCTCACATCTGTAGTCTCAGCACTTTGAGAGGCTAAGGCAGAATGATCACTTGAGGTCAGGAGTTTGACGCCAGCCTAGACGACATAGTGAGACCCTGTTTCTCCCAAAAAAATAAAGAATTAGCTGGGCATGGTGATGCATGCCTGTAGTCCCCAGCCACTTGAGAGGCTGGGGCTGGAGGATCGCTTGGTCCCAGCAGTTTTGAGGTGACTTTGAGCTATGATCATGCCAGTGCACTCCAGCCTGGTAGACAGAGCAAGACTGTCTCTTAAACAAACAAACAAAAAATATGGAAACTCTTGAGTTAGAAAAAAATGGTGGTATTTTAGTAGGAGTTCTATACAAGGAATTAGAAAGTCACAATTTTAGTCCTCTAGATGTGTGGCGCTGGGCAAGGTCCTAACCACTCTGGGATTTGGATCATCTATCCATAAAGCTGCATGCCTGGTATTGTACTCAGAGACACATATTTTTCACACACATTGAAAAGATCTTTTGTTGAAAGGTCAGGAGGCTCCCGTCCTACTCATACTCCTCTTCAAATGAAATGATAGCTAGTGCCAGTGTTCAAGAGGAGTCAAAGCTTATGATGACACAATTGGAGGTAAAATTCTTGAAATGTTTATGTATTACCAGTTGAAGTGGTGTAAGCAATTCCTGTCTGTTTTGATAAGCTGGACTGCCATGGGAAAGACAGTGCCCATCTGAAGGATATTAAGAATGTCATGATGGCTAAGAACAGACTGACAGTAACTTTGTAGAAAAACACCACTGTGCCAGAGATATTTTTGTTCTCTTCTGCTATGTGAAAACATGAATACACTGGGCCGTTTCTCTTAATAAAGAGGAATTATTAAGGCTACTAGGATTAGGGAAGAAAGAATCAAATATCAAGGTAAATAGTGAAGGAAAGAGGTTGAGACTTAATTTTTACTTTTAAATGAAATAATATCTAATAAAATTTTGATAACTGTAACAATACTTTAATTCTTAGAATAAAGAATTCTAGAGTAGAGAATTAACCAACTGTGATAGCAGTAAAAATAATTCTGATGAAACTGTATTGTTGACATTTTCCCTTTCCAGATGGCTTTAATTTTGATATTGGCAGTTCTCCAGCATCACTTTCATTGACTTTTTGTGAAATACTCTATTTTTGGAAAGATTTACACTTTTGTTCTGTAATCGTTTTGCATAATGTATAGGTAGATGTTGTGGGAAGTGACTAAGGCATTGACATCATATATGGGGGTAGATTTTAGTGTTAGGCAGAAAAGACTGTGTTTGGAGTAGGAAATAATTTTTTAAGTGATTAGTTCATTTGTGAATAATTTTGTGTTTTACTGAATTTTGTTTCTGATAACAACTATATAACAGTGGATTCTTGTAATAAATAACAGTAAAGTAGGGGCGCGTTGGCCAGTAAAGTGGGGGTGCGTTGGCCCAGCACTTTGGGACACTGGGCTGGGTGGATCACTGGAGGTCAGGAGTTTGAGACCAGCCTGGCCAACAGGGTGAAACCCTGTGTCCACTAAATATACAAAAATTAGCTGGGTATGGTGGCACGCACCTGTAGTCCATGCTACTCGGAAGGCTGAGACAAGAGGATCATAAATAACAGTAACCTTCCTCTGTATTACTGAAGACTTTTGATCATCCAGGGCCTTGAAAGCTTTCTCTGAAATAAAACTTAATTTATTTTAAGATTCATCTCGGAGGCATAATCAAGTTCCTAGATCTTCATCAGTGGTACTTGGATCATTTGGAACAGACTTAATGAGAGAGAGGAGAGATTTGGAGAGAAGAACAGATTCTTCTATTAGTAATCTTATGGATTATAGTCACCGAAGTGGTGATTTCACAACTTCATCATGTATGTATAAATTACATTAAGTATAGCTTATTTCATAATGTTCCATTTTTCTCTTTATTACGAAAACAGTACAAAGGAAAAAAGTATATCTTATGAAGATTTCAGAATACCTTAATATTTTTTCTAGTATTTTACTGATTTTGACCTTAAAAAATAAATAATTTGAAGTACAGCAGATGAATATGAGTATCTAGATTCCATCTACCTTTACATTGTTTACCTGCATTCTTCCTTTTATGAATGTCTGTTACAAAGTACCATACTAAATCTTAAATCCTCAAATATAATTTGCCTATAACATGTAGTTTAATAAATAACTACTTCTTATTCTGAAGTAAAAGTTGAAATCACCATTTTAAGGCATAATTTGGAATTACTTCAGTATAACATGAATGTGCCTCTAGTTTTATTAAATTGACCTCAAGACCCACACTTTGTTTTTTGTTTGTTTGTGTGTTTGTTTTAAGGCAGAGTTTTGTTCTTGTTGCCCAGGCTGGAGTGCAATGGCACAATCTTGGCTCACTGCAACCTCCCCTTCCAGATTCAAGCGATCCTTCTGTGTCAGCTTCTCAAGTAGCTGCGATTATAGGCATATGCCACCATGCCCAGCTAATTTTGTATTTTTAGTAGAGACAGGGTTTCACCATGTTGGCTTGAGCTCCTATCTCAGGTGATCCGCCTGCCTCGGCCTCCTAAAGTGTTGGGATTACAGGCGTGAGCCCTGCACACAACCACACTTTGTACCATTGTACATAGCCTTAAACTATCATACTAAGTAACTGAAGAAAAAAGGTGCTGCTAATTGAAGTTGACAAATAAAGTAGGCAGAAATGGAGCTTGATTTACATAGTAGGAAATGCTGTTTTGTTTTTAAAGGTTTTTTGGCCTTGTGTGGTGGCTCACGCCTGTAATTCTAGCACTTTAGGAGGCCAAGGTGGGCGGATCATGAGGTTAGGAGATTGAGACCAGCCTGGCCAACATGATGAAACCATGTCTCTACTAAAAATACAAAAATTAGCCGGGTGTGGTGGTGTGTGCCCGTAGTCCCAGCTACTCGGGAGGCTGAGGCAGGGGAATCACTTGAATCCGGGAGGCGAAGGTTCTGCTGAGCAGAGCTCGCCTCTGCGCTCCAACCTGGCAACAGAGCAAGACTCCGTCTCAAAAAAAAAAAAAAAAAAAAAAAAGTTTAGGCTATTTTAATTTATCTTATTGGGGCAAAACTTTGCTCTATTTATAACAAATGAAAACATTTTACTTCCTTGGCTTTGGATGGTGGAGCTTTAGTAGACTATCAATAGCTTCTAGGTTTGGGAGTATAAAAGTACAGGATAGAAATAGATTTAGTTCCTAACATTTACCCTTTCATAATGCTTCATGTATTAGCATAGTATTAATTTAGCTCTTACACAAGGTGTATGGGGTAGTTTCTTTGCAAAGGAATCCTATGGTGTTTCTCATCTTATTTGAAGATTTAAACCACCACTTAAGGAATCCTTTCAAAAGTGCAGATGTCACAGACCTATTCTGATTCATAGTTCCTAGCCAATGTTTAAAAGCAAATGTATTTCTGATGAGAAGCCAGGGATAAAAACTACTGCTATTAACCTGAAAGAAAGAAAAAATTGGAAAAAATTTTAGCTATTAGCAAGACTTATAAAATTACAAAGGTTTAAAACTTTTTAATTTATTGCACAGAGTAAAAAAAATCTCCAAAACAGTCTCCCTTAGGATGATTTTGCTTTTAATCATTTTAAGAGTCATTTACATTGTATTATTTGGCCTGTTTAAAATTGTCTCAACTTAAATACTAGATATTATTGTATCATATCAAATAATTTCTGATCAATGAGTTCAACTGTTTTAATTTTATCAAGTAATGTTTGCTTTTCATAAGCTCATAATACATTTTTCTTATATATATCTGTAATGTTGACTCTACACAGCACTACTGGATTTTACCAGTAAGAATAGAAAGAGGAATATGTTTATGTTTTTTCTATAATAATAGTATACTCTGTAGTTACAATGTTAACAGTATTCAGTTTGAATCCAGTGCTTTGTTTTGGCACTCAACATAGTTAATAAATGCAAATAATAAGGCTCAAATTATTTAATGTAATTGGTTATCTTTACTTTCTTTCAAAAATAGACGTTCAAGACCGAGTTCCTTCATATTCACAAGGAGCAAGACCAAAAGAAAATTCAGTGAGCACTTTACAGTTGAATACATCATCCACAAACCACCAGTTGCCTTCTGAACATCAGACCATACTAAGTTCTAGGGACTCCAGAAATTCCTTAAGATCAAATTTTTCTTCACGAGAATCAGAATCTTCCCGAAGCAATACACAACCTGGATTTTCTTATATTTCAAGTAGAGATGAAACCCCAAACATTAGCAATCCAGAAAGGGTTGTTTCATCTCAAAGACCATTTCAAGAATCTTCTGACAACGAAGGTAGGCGGACAACCAGGAGATTGCTGTCACGCATAGCTTCTAGCATGTCATCTACTTTTTTTTCACGAAGATCTAGTCAGGATTCTTTGAATACAAGATCATTGAGTTCTGAAAATTCTTATGTTTCTCCAAGAATCTTGACAGCTTCACAGTCCCGTAGTAATGTACCGTCGACTTCTGAAGTTCCCGATAATAGGGCATCTGAAGCTTCTCAGGGATTTCGATTTCTTAGGCGAAGATGGGGTTTGTCATCTCTTAGCCACAATCATAGCTCTGAGTCAGATTCAGAAAATTTTAATCAAGAATCTGAAGGTAGAAATACAGGACCATGGTTATCTTCCTCACTTAGAAATAGATGCACACCTTTGTTCTCTAGAAGGAGGCGAGAGGGAAGAGATGAATCTTCAAGGATACCTACCTCTGATACACCATCTAGAGCTCATATTTTTAGAAGAGAATCAAATGAAGTGGTTCACCTTGAAGCACACAGTGATCCTCTTGGAGCTGCTGCCAACAGACCGCAAGCATCTGCGTCAAGCAGTGCCACAGCAGGTGGCTCTACATCAGATTCGGCTCAAGGTGGAAGAAATACAGGAATAGCAGGGATTCTTCCTGGTTCCTTATTCCGGTTTGCAGTCCCCCCAGCACTTGGGAGTAATTTGACCGACAATGTCATGATCACTGTAGATATTATTCCTTCAGGTTGGAATTCAGCTGATGGTAAAAGTGATAAAACTAAAAATGCACCTTCAAGAGATCCAGAAAGATTGCAGAAAATAAAAGAGAGGTAAATTTGAATGCCTATCTTAAGCCTATAAATCAAGAATATATTAGAGAAAGAACTCTTTTCTTTCTTTCTTTTTTCTTTTTTTGAGACAGAGTCTTGCTTTGTGGCCCAGGCTGGAGTGCAGTGGTGTGATCTCAGCTCACTGCAACCTCTACCTCCTGGGTTCAAGCAATTCTGTCTCAGCCTCTGGAGTAGCTGGGTATACAGGCACATGCCACCACCACCTAATTTTTGTGTTTTTGGTAGAGATGAGTTTCGCCATATTGGTCAGGCTGGTCTTGAACTCCTGGCCTTAGGTGATCCAAACACCCCAGCTTCCCAAAGTGCTGAGATTACAGGCATGAGCCACGGCGCTCGGCCCAGAACTCTTCATTTCTAAATTGACTTCTTATAAAATTGATATCTGAAGTTTCTTTCTTTCTTTTATTTTTTTTTATTTTGAGATGGAGTCACACTCTGTTGCCCAGGCTGTTGTGCAGTGGCACAGTCTTGGGCTCACGGCAACCTCTACCTCCCTGGTTGAAGCAATTCTCCTGCGTCAGCCTCCCAAATAGTTTGGATTACGGGCGGCCACTACCACCCCAGTTAATTTTTGTATTTTTAGTAGAGGCTGGATTTCATCACATTGGCCAGGCTAGTCTCGATCTCCTAACCTTAAGTTATCCACCTGCCTCCATCTCCCAGTGTTGGGATTACAGGGGTGAGCCACCAGGCCCAGCCTGAGATTTCTTCCCTTAACATTTACATCCATTAAAGTGTTAATGGCTCACTCATAGGTAAACAGATAAGAATGAATAATTTCGGATAGGCAATGTGTGAATTACGTCAGAAAGTAATCTAAAGGTTATTTTAACCAGGTTGGAGTACATATACACAGAAAGACAAAAATCTTAATCTCTTACTTAATTCCTTGGTAGACTAATGCTAAATATGGGGTAGATAAGAGGAACAGATTACCAGTAAATCTGTCTTAGCCGTTACTAAGATGATTTATTAACTAACCATTTATTTACATTTCTTACTGCAAATCTTTTTTTGGAATTTGATGCACAAAATAATCTTTATTTTGTATTTGAAGTCCAAGTATATCCTGAATATTCTTTTTAAATATTTTGTAGAGACGGATCTTGCTTTACTTCCCAGGCTGGTCTCAGACTCCTGGCTTCAAGCCACCCTCATGCTTCAACCTCCAAAAGTGCTGAGATTGCAGGCGTGAGCCATCATGCTCACCCAGTTCTTTACATATTAGAATTATTTAACAGAAATGCCAGTGTAGGCCAGGCACGGTGGCTCGTGCTTGTAATCTCCAAACTTTAGGAGGCTGAGGTAGGTGGATCAGGAGGTCAGGAGATTGAGACCATCCTGGCCAACATGGTGAAAACCCATCTCTGTTAAAAATACGAAGATTAGCTGGGCGTGGTGACGTGCGCTTGTAGTCCCTGCTATTCAGGAAGCTGAGGCAGTAGAATCTTTTTAACCTGGGAGGTGGAGGTTGCAGTGAGCTGAGGTTGCATCACTGCACTCCAGCCTGGAGACAGAATGAAACTGTTACTAAAAAAAAATTAAAAAAGGAAAAAGAAATACCAGTTTAAATTCAGGGCATAGAATCTTTTTATACAAATAAATCTTTATATAGAGTTGAAGGTTGCTTATAAATTACTGGTAAGAGTGAAAAGACCAAAAAAAAACAGAGATCTTAGTCCCAGCCTGACTATTTACTTAGCATTAAAATAAAATGAGATAAAGTATTTGAAATACACTTTGAGGAAAAGACTTATATAAAGTTAATGTTGTGGAATATTTTTTTCTTTTTCACAAAGCCTGATAGAACTGTTGGGAAGCATAGTTGTTACTGTTATTTTTAGGATTTTTTGTACTTTAATAAGAAAATACTTTGGGCTACCATACTTCTATTTCTCATTTTATAGGATAGATTTTACTATGTGACTGTTATTTTCCTGCTTTTAAACCTGCCATTTTTCCTTTTTTGTAGAAAGGCTTACTCTACTCTGGTAGTGTTTGCTTTAATGTTTGCCTATTATAGCAGCTTCCTCTAATTGCAGGCTGTCTGCTCTCTGCTAAGTAGTGTAGTAACATATTTTCAGCCCTCAAGGTTAGGTTAATTTGAGTACAGTAGTGTAGGCAGAGGGCAAAGCGTTAGTTTAGTTATCTTCAGAAAGAAATGATTGAGTCAGTACCACTCTGTCTGGTTAGTTTAAAAAGCACCATTTGTTGGTTATTTTGTCAGAAAGATAGTGTGTGTTGTGTATATGTTTGTATTCCTGTATTATATCTTTTCTCATACCTAAGGATTTTAAGACATTACACAATTAAGTTAAAAATGGTACAGAAAAATTGAATCCACCAAGTCAATAATTGAAACTCTGAAGGGAAGAAAGTTAAATTTAAAGGTCAAATGTAAATACCATGTTTTTAGTCTTTAAAAATGATTTATGCTTGAGGTCATGTCTGATTAAGACAGGGCATGAAAGTCTCCTAGCAGTTGTATATCTGTCTCTTTACACAAATCTTTTGCTAAGTTTATTTAGGAATCCATATATTCCAGGTTGTATTTCAGTAACAGTTCAGCATTCTGTATTACAGATTTACTGAGGATGTGCTTCATGCCAACAGTAGAAAAACACAGTAGGAATTTTAACCATTATTATTATGTAGAACTATTACTCTGCATTTATATTACACAATGGCCTGTTAAATAGAGGACATGAGTTAATGGAAATGTTACAAGATTGCTGCAGGAAATGGGCGTGGGGGGGTGATGGTGGAGAATTTTAAGATACTTTTTAATTTTTTCTGTGATATAGAAGTCAGTCTAAACATCATTCTGATAATGTAAATGAGAATCTACAAGCCAGTATGTGTTTAATTCATGGAAATAGCCCTAAAATTTGAGGGGAGGCAAGGGGCAAAAGTGATAAGTTTGTCTTATCTTTATACTGTTGGATTTGAAGTAGTCTGGAATACCTCAGAAATTAAAATCTTTTAGGGGTACTTATAAAGTCATTGAGAAAAATATAGGTCTTAAACTGTCTGCCAATGATAGGTTAACCTATCATTTATTTTCAAATGATTAAGTAATTTTTGTGATGTGATGGAATGAAGGAGAAAGAACTATTAGGGAAGCTCATAAAATACTTGTTACAGTTTTTATTCTCAATGAGAGGATTTTTCATTTTCAGTCAGAGGGTTGCTGATTAATAATAATTGTTATTGTTTTGTTGATATTACTATTTGCTTTTTTCCACCCAGAGACAGTGTGGGTAGAAATATCAAAAAAGAGAGCTTGTGATTATGTGTAACTGAAGTAACCAACCAGGATGAGTTATGATGGATCTGGGAAATGTGCCTTCTTTTCCAGCCTCCTTTTAGAGGACTCAGAAGAAGAAGAAGGTGACTTATGTAGAATTTGTCAAATGGCAGCTGCATCATCATCTAATTTGCTGATAGAGCCATGCAAGTGCACAGGAAGTTTGCAGTATGTCCACCAAGAGTGTATGAAAAAGTGGTTACAGGCCAAAATTAACTCTGGTAAGATTTACCCTTTTGTGTTTTCACAATTTTTCTAAGAGATGCATGTATGTATGCCTTTTGGTTAACAAATTTATAATTTATAGATTGTTGAATTTAGACTTTTAACAAGTGTCTTAATCATTTTTGAAGTCTTAGCAGAAGCATTAAAGAGCATTAGTCTTTATGATTTTTTAGTAATGTATATTTCATTTCTCAACCATTTACTACTTCACAACATGTATAATACAGCTGTAATTTGTGATCACTGGTATGTCCCTTATATCATGTAAGATCCTTTTGAATCAAGGAAATAGACTCAGCATTTACCAACTGTGTGTCCTTGAGAAAGATTTATTTCTAATGTTGCTATTGTGTCACTTTGCAAATTACGATAATAAGGCCCCTGTGGGGATTTATTTGTTCACTGAGTGCCTATAATAGAGCCAGGCACAGTAGTTCTAGACATTGGTTATAGAATGGTAGAAGGACAAGGCACTTGCTTCTTGCATTGGTATTGGATGTTAAGGAAATGCCTTTCTGAAGTGAGAACATGTAAATTGAGAGCTGAGCTATTCCATAATTAGGGGAGAGCACTCTAGCGTAGGGAACAGCAAGTTCAAATACTTTAAGGTGGGAATCAACTTGGTGTATTTGAGGAGCTGAATCATGGGTAGTGTGGCTGGTGTATAATTAGTCTGGGAGAGAATAAAGCTGAGATGAGAAAGATTAGCAGAGGTTAGCTCATGCAAGACTTTTCAAGCAAAGGCCCAAACCTTAGATTTAAGTATGATGGAAAGCTACTAAAGGGAAAGGGGATGAAATGGTCTTACTCATATTTGGCTGCTCTGTAGAGAATGAATTTTTAGGGGGGACAAGAGACCAACCAGGAGTCTATTATTGGAGCACTTGTTAGAGTTGGTGATGATGAACGTGTAGCAGTGGTGATTGTGATGATAGAAATGGATAGATTCTGATACGTTTTGTAGGTAGATTCTGTAAGACATCGAATTCAGTAGATTGGATGTGATGGAATGAAGGAGAAAGAACTATTAGGGAAGCTCGTATTTTTGCCTTGAGCAGTTAAGTGAATGACGGTTCCTTTTACTGAAATAGGAAGTTGAAAAGGGAACTAAGACTTCTGTTTTGGACATTATATTTGAACTACTTATTAGATAACTATATAGAAATATCATGTAGGCAGTTAGCTAGATAAGCCTGGCATTTCAGGAGAAACATTCAGTTATGAGCACATGAGTAACATTTGAGACGTTGGTCAGCTAGAGGAAGAGCAGATAGCAAAGAAATAGGCCCAGGGACACTTAACATTTAGTGAGAACAGAGGAGACATAAGGAGCAGCCTTTAGTCAGAAAGGAAGAAAACCAAGAAAATGTGTTGTGCAAGCCAAAAGAAGAAAGCTTTAAGGAGTATGTGATCAACCCTGCACTTCCGAGAGGTCAAGTAAGAGGAGAAGAAAGAATAATTGGATTTGATAGCATGGTTGTTCTTGGTAGTTTCAGTCTCTGGAATCGTGGGTTCCTAAGCCTTATTAGATTAGATTGAGAGGAGTAAAGGAGGGAAGAAAGGAGAGACAACAACACAGATTTGACACTTTGAACAAATTTACTACCAAGGAGACTATAGGGAACAGGAATTAGAGTTATATGGGATCACAGAAAGTGTTTTTGTTTTATTTTGAGGTAGTAGATTTTTAGACTTGTTTTTATTTTGAGACTTCTAATAGAAAATAAAATACGAAAAGAGGAGAAGGAAGATGGGATCCAGAGCACAGGTTGAGTGGTTATCCCTTAATAGGAGAAAGGATATATTCCCTTCAGAAGGCTAGTGTTGATATGGGTGTTAATCAGTTTGTTGCTTTAATGGGAAGATTTATGACTTCCTGTGTTAATTGCATCTGTTTTCTTAGGTAAGGTCTTTGACTGATTAGGAGGCAACTTAGAAGGTTTTGAGGTGTGAGAAAAATAACATTCTAAGGATGCGGATATGTCGTAGGATTTCCAGATTGTATTAGTGTCTGTAAAAGTGATTTTAAAATTAGGTACACATACAATTTTTTTTAAGCTGTTATCAGATGCTTGGGATACAGGTATGCACTAGAGTTCAATGCTGGTGGGTCTTTTGCCAGGCAAATATGATGAAGGGAGTTAAGGGTATCTATAAGGACATAATTGTGGCAATCATAGCAATTAAAATCAGAAGAAAAGTAAGGACATCACAAAGTGTATAATGAGAAAGTGTAGAGTATCTTTGAATTTTATTGACATTGAACTAAGTAGGCTAAAATAATAAGATTGGTACACAGGAGGAGGGGATGCTTAAAATAGAGATTTAGGGGTAGTGCAGTAAATTGTGACGAAATCAAGGGGGATGAACTTAGAGTGGGTGACTGAGGTTGGAAAGGGTAATATTGGAAGCAAAAATGTTGAGAAAGTTATAATCCAATGGGACTGGTCTTGGATGTTGTAACAACGAAGGATTTAGTTGGCAAAGAAAGTAGAGAGCCAGGGGCCGGGCGCAGTGGCTCACGCCTGTAATCCCAGCACTTTGGGAGGCCGAGGCGGGTGGATCACGAGGTCAAGAGATCGAGACCATCCTGGTCAACATGGTGAAACCCCGTCTCTACTTAAAATACAAAAATTAGCTGGGCATGGTGGCGCACGCCTGTAGTCCCAGCTACTCGGGAGGCTGAGGCAGGAGAATTGCCTGAACCCAGGAGGCGGAGGTTGCGGTGAGCCGAGGTCGCGTCATTGCACTCCAGCCTGGGTAACAAGAGCGAAACTCCGTCTCAAAAAAAAAAAAAAAAAAAAAAAAAAAAGAAAGAAAGTAGAGAGCCAGGTGCTGAAGTCATTAATGAATTAGGTGAGTTAAGATTTGAAAACAGTAATGGGTATGTTGGGTGGGCAACTACTCTCACTTCTTGGTCCTGAGTTACAAGGGACTGTGGGGATAAAATGGCTATAGAAACATACATATAGGTATTATTAGTCAGGGGGCACTGTGGTTCAGACATGAAAATAAAAAGTTCAAAAAAGAAAGGCTGGTGATCAGAGGAATTTACTGGAAGTAGACCATGAGTACAAGAGAGGACATAGAAACTACTAGTAAGGTGGAAAATTAGATCAGATTAATACATGTACATAATTGTGTGAGATTAAAGGTCTGATCATTATAGCATGGTGACATAGGCAAATATGTTGTGAGGTACGATGGCACTGATTTTGATTTTCATAATCTGTTGGAGGAGTTGGGTTCAAGTTGGAGATTATGGGGATACTGGGAAAATTCCTGAGGCTCCTAGTAATGTGGTAGTCAAGTGGTGAGCAGTAGCCCTCTTGGTGGGCACAAGAGAAGAAAGCAATATCTTTTCTTCTAAGCTAGTCTAAGCCCAAGGCACTGAACAAACAAGCTGTCTTACCTGGAGCTGCCTTTTCTCTGATCTGTGTGGTGTTTCAGTAACTCACAGGCTTTGTTGGTCACTCCCCTGAGGTGTTACGAGGACTAAATGAGAAATTACATTTAACATGCTTTTCATTTTGACACTTAAGGGCCCAGAAATATTAGCTATTACCAAAATGAAGAAAAACAACTTGACTTAACTTCTGACACAGACAATTGATTATTAGTGTTAGATATGGAGGAAAACAGATAATACAGTTTATTGTTTAAGAACATTGGCTTTTTGAAGTTAGACAAGCCCAGTTCGGAACATTTACTTGAACACTCAGCTAGCTATAGGGTCTTGAGCATGTTTCTTAACATTGGTTCTCAACCGTGGCTGCTGATCAAAATCACTCACTGGAGTTTTTAAAGATACAGATGGGCTGGGCACAGTGACTCACTCCTGTAATCCCAGCACTATGGGAGGCCAAGGCAGGTGGATCACCTGAGGTCAGGAGTTTGAGACCAGCCTGGCCAACATGGCGAAACCCCACTTCTACTAAAAATACAAAAATTAGCTGGGTATAGTGGTGCACCCCTGTGATCCTAGCTACCCAGGAAGCTGAGGCAAGAGAATCGCTTGAACCCAGGAGGCAGAGGTTGCAGTGAGCCAAGATTGCCCCATTGCACTCCAGGCTGGGTGACAACAGTGACACTCTGTCTCAAAAAACAAAAAATACAGATGATTCAGATTTACTCTCAAAGATTCTTAAGTAGGACTGGGGTTGAGCCTCAGTTCCTTCATGATACCTAATAAAGTTGTTAATGAATGTCAAAATAGTTAATGTTTCTAGTTTCCACTGTACCAGGCACATGGTAAGTACATGATTAAATTAAATGGGAGTTTGTTTTTATTTTGGAAACAGAATCTTGTTCTGTCTCCAGGCTGGAGTGCAGTGGCACAATCTTGGCTCACTGCAACCTCTGCCTCCTGGGTTCAAGGGATTCTCCTGCTTCAGCCTCCTGAGTAGCTAGGACTACAGGCGCACACCACCATGCCTGGCTATTTTTTTGTATTTTTAGTAGAGGTGGGGTTTCGTCATATTGGCCAGGCTGATCTCAAAGTCCTGGCCTCAAGTGATTTGCCCTCCTCAGTGGCCTCCCTGGCTAATTTTTTGTATTTTTAGTAGAGATGGGATTTCATCATGTTGGCTAGGCGGGTCTCGGACTCCTAACCTTAAGTGATCCGCCCACCTCGGCAACCTCCCATAGTGTTGGGGTTACAGGCGTGAGCCACCATACCTGGCCTCAGGTTAGTTTTATAAAGTTATAATAAATACTTTTCAAAAGATGGCCAATTGAATGTATAGGTCTCAGCAACTGAACTTTCCTGATAAGTATTCAGAAGTATTTTTTTATAGCTGCACAAATACCCCATCATTCTGGTAGAGACTTACTTAAACATTTATTAAGAAGCTACCAAATTTGGATTGCTAAAGTCTACAGGATATACAAAGATGAATACAATAAATCTAGTACAGGTTTAGGCAGGTGCAGTCAGGGTGTAACGGAGAGAACCCTGATTAAGATATATAGGAGTAGGCTGATTGGTGGCTGATGCCTGTAATCCAACAGGACAAGACAAGAGAATCCCTTGAGCCCAGGAGTTAGAGGTTGCAATGAGCCATGATTGTGCCACTGCACTCCAGGCTCAGCAGCAGAGTGAGATCTTGTCTCCAGCAAAAACATGTAGGAATAAATGGTTTGCTCCCAGCTGTGTGGAAATCTTTTATTCCCTGGAGGAAGAAAATGAAGCACTAAGATATATAAGAGAATCTGTATTAAATTATCTCCAAGGTCCATATTACATTTTCATGTATGCTAGACTCTAAAAAGAAGCTAGGTTTTATTCATATACTCAAAATGTAGTGAAAACTCAATGTAATTTTACTACAGCTCATTTTGAGACAGCTTACTTCTTCAGATTAGACTCACTTTCAGCTGTTTTCTAGAAAATATGCGTAAGTTACTACTGCTGTCTTGGACCTTATGCCAAATTTTACTCTTAAAAAATTCTTACTTGACTAGCACGAGTTAGTAGAGTTTTATGAGCTCCTTGAAGGCAGGACCTTCTACTCTTTCTTTTTTGAATTTCCAAAACCTCTAATTAACTGGTTGCATATAACAATCACTCAACAAATGTTACTTGAATTGAATTTAAACCTATCTACCCTGTTATTTGTACAACTTACTCTAATTTTAAGGTCATTTTTCCATTTGAAACTCTATTTAAATATAAACAAAGGAAAAGGTAGAAATAACCTACATATTTAATTATACAAGACTACTACCTACCAAATTGGAACCAAAAAGCTTCAGAATAATCAAATGTTGAATGGATATGGAAGTTTTCTATTTAAAAAAATGTTTGGTCAAACAAACATAAATAACATAAAATACGCCATTTTGACCATTTTTTAAGTATACAGTTTGGTCCTTTCACAGTGTTGTGCAATCATCACCCCTATTTCCAAAATTGTGTATCATTCCAGACAGAAACTCTAACCATTAAGCAGTAACTCCTCACTTCCTGCTCCCTCCTCCACCAAATCCCTGCTAACGTCTCATCTACTTTCTGTCTCTCTGAATTTGCATATTCTAGATATTTTATGTAAGTAGAATCATAAAATATTTGTTCTTTCATATCTGTCTTATTTCATGTAGCATAATGTTTTCGAAGTTCATCATGTAGCAGCATATATCAAGACTAATTCCTTTTATGACTGAAGGGAGCTGTTTTTATTTGGACAAGGTTGGCTCCTTTCTTCCTGTTCTAGCAAGTAAGACAGACACATTTTTTAAACTCCAAAAGGTCTTAGGTGTGTGTTGTCACATCAAAGATACTAGCTTGGTATGTAACTAGGTGTTTGAGATGTTACATCACTAAACATTGTTTTCATGGCATCATGCCAAAATACTTAAAGAGGAAGTAGGAAGTACAGATGACATTCCATTGCCTCTGTCAACTTCCTGTGATGAAGGATGTATGAGTATCTGGGAAGAAAACAACCAAGGTATCTAAATAATGGGTGGCGGCTTATTATCATAGGGCAGGACCCGACGTGAACATTGGATATTATAGACTGCTGTATTAGGGGACATTACTGGTTTACTGCAGAAATGTATTCCCTTTTCTTCTCCTTTCCATTAAGGTTTTTTTTTTGTTTGTTTGTTTTGTTTTTTAATTTTAGGCTTAAAACTTAACAAGGAAAAGTGTTTTATGAAGACATTGTAAAACTAAGCTTTACTTGTAATTTAATTTTTACCAGGTTCTTCATTAGAAGCTGTAACCACCTGTGAACTATGTAAAGAGAAGTTGGAGCTTAACCTGGAGGATTTTGATATCCATGAACTACATAGAGCTCATGCAAATGAACAAGTTAGTATATTTTGCCTAATTTGGTAAGTGTCTATTCTATGCTTCAAGGACAGCTCTTGAAGAAAAGATTAAATCATGGTCAGAAACCTTGCATTAAAATAGTAATAACAATGATAATGTTCTTAACATAATTCTATTACTTCATTAGGTGTTAGAATTTCATAATTTTTTTTTCCCTTAAGCTTAGGAAAGTTGTTCCAAAATAGGGATGCCAACCTTATTTCCCCACAACCATAAGTTTTTTGAGATGCATGAATGATACAGTTAGAATGAAGAGCTCAATATTTTCCCCCATTTTCTTTACTGAAGGAAAATTTAGGAGGTGGGCAGATGTGTGCTTAAGATTACAAGAGTGACTCTAGAGCCAAATTGTTGAAGTGTGGTTAGCATATTTGTTGAAAAAAAAGATACAATGGAAAGGGAGTGCATGAAGTGCTTGAAAAACACTTTTTGGCCAGGTACAGTGGCTCACTCCTATCCCGAGCACTTTGGGAGGCTAAAACAGGGTGATTGTTTGAGGCCAGGAGTTCAAGACCAGCCTCGGCAACATAGCAAGACCCCGTCTCTACAAAACAAAAACACTTTTTAAATGTAGGGGTAATGGGCCTACTCTCTTTTATTATATTGAATGAGATTTACAAAACATAAAAACCATTTTGTACAGCTGCCATCTCTGTTTAGTTCAACATTTTCATCACTCCAAAAGAAAACCCTCTACCCATTAAACAGTTGCTCCCCATTCTGTCCTCTCAGCCCCTGGCAACTACCAGTCTGTGTTGTTTTATAGATTTATTTACCCTGGATAATTTCATACAAATAGAATCATACATTAATATATGATATTTTCTGAACCACGTTTTTTAAATAGGGGAATAATGGATACCCTTTGAAAATCTGATTAAAACTATGTACCCGTCTTTAAAAATATATAGACACAAATTATGTCTACAATTTAAGGGGTTCCCAGATCCCTTGAAGCTAATCGCTTGAATCCAGATTAAGAATCACTAATCTAAAGAATGAAACATTAAGTAGTTGATATAGCATAGGTGCTACTCTAATGCCAGTTAGGTTGTTTTATTCTCCAATGCACTAGTTGTCCAAAAAGAAAATCACTTTCAGCAAGGAAATGTTTTAAATCTCCAAGGAGTTCTGTGTAGCTAGCTGAGCATTGATACTTGAAAAACAGAGGAATCATGGAAAAGTGGAATCATGCAGAAATAAATATATGATTTTTCAAAATGAGAGTAGGTTTCAAAAGGATTATTTCTTCTGCTGCCTTCCTTCTCGAGATGCTTCATCCTGTCTCTCAGAGGTAGTTCTTTCTTTGTTTCCTTCTTTTCTTTTTTTTTTTTTTTTTTTTTTTTTGTGTGTGTGTGTGTATGTATGTGTGTGTGTGTGTGTGTGTGTGATGAAGTCTCGCTCTGTTGCCCAGGCTGGAGTGGAGTGGGGCGATCTCAGCTCACTGCAGCCACCGCCTCCCAGGTTCAAGCAATTCTCCTGCCTCAGCCTCCTGACTAGCTGGGATTACAGGCATGTGCCACCATGCCTGGCTAATTTTTGTATTTTTAGTAGAGGCAGGGTTTCACCATATTGGTCATGCTGGTCTAGAACGCCTGACCTTGTGGTCCGCCCGCCTTGGCCTCCCACAAGTGCTGGGATTACAGGCATCAGCTACCAGGCTCGGCCAGTCCTTTGTGAACTCAGGAATGGTTTTATTGTTTTCTAAGCATTTTAATGACTCATATTCTTTAGAAGTATTAGGAAATATCAGGTGGAGTCATTTTAAAAACAATGACAGCCTTGATTAAACTTTGTGGTTTTAACTTGTTTGTTCTGTATGAATAATAGATTCTAGTGACCTGATAGATACACTCATTTTAAGTGATTGGTAAGTCTATTTCCTCATTACCTAGTGTCTTGATCTTTTACAAGGTGATAACCATTTAAGTTTTTTTTTTGAAATGGTGCCTCCCAAAGCACTGGGATTACAGGTGTGAGCCACACTGCACATGGCCTTATTTAAAGTTTTTTTTAAAAAATTGTGGATATATTATTCCCTTGTAAGTTAAAAAGGCAAAAATAAATTATTAAGTGAAGCATTACAAGCGTGTGTGTGTGTGTGTGTGTGTGTGTGTGTGTGTGTGTGTGGTGTGTGTGTGGTTTTGCTCTTGTCGCCCAGGCTGAAGTGCAGTGGCGCTCAAGTGATTCTCCTGCCTAAGGCTCCCAAGTCGCTGGGGATACAGGCACCTGCCGCGGCTAATTTTTGTATTTTTAGTAGAGATGGGATTTTGTCATGTTCACTAGACTGGTCTTGAACTCCTGACCTCAAGTGGTTCACCCACCTCAGCCTTCCAAAGTGCTGGGATTACAGGTGTGAGCCACCATGCCTGGCCTCAAATTTCTTGAATACTCAGTAGACTCTGATAACCAGTTACTTGCTGAAGGTGGTACTAAAATCATAGAGTTCTTAACTTCCAATGAACCAGTTACCCAATTCAGTTTATGAGTAGTTCAGTGTCAAAATTAAAGGACAGATTAGATTTTTAATTATACTATATTCATGATTTGTATTCATGGCTTAAAAACAACGAGGGTGGGGGATGGGAGAGGAGAGAGAAACATTTAATCTGAGGAATATGAGCTCCTTAAAATTATCAGGTCCAGAGAGGTGTTTAAAATGTAACAGCATTCTCATCTCACTCTCCCTTGAATATCTCTTGAAGCCACTTGCTTTGGAGGCTCTAGACTAACTAATGCCAAGTAGCCATAAATGTTATATACCCTATAGTACAATAGTGTGTAGCCAATCACTAACCAACGTTATTTCTGTAAAACAATGAGAATTCAGAGTGAACAACTTTTGTCATCTCTCCTTTCCTGATTTGTCTTTTCTTTAAAAATTTGAGCCTTTCTTTTGTTCTCTGGAGCACTCTCCACAAGGCAACTTGGAAGTGTGTCCCTGGCAGCAATCCTGAACCTTGACTTAACTCTGTTAATTTTGTCTCAGTTTCTTCCTTTTAGTTTAACACAACAGAACAGTTTGGAATCAAAGAGCTGTTTTTACCAACTACAGATTTCTGTGTGAATGATTAGTTATTCTCTTACCTTTATTAATTCATTCTTTTATTTACTATGCCTTTAAGTTCATTGTATTACAGAGAAAAACACTTGAGCTATCACAATAGGTTTTAGTTATAGTAGTATATTGGCTTAGCTATAGAAGAAATGTAATTTTTAACTAAACATACATAGCTATAGCTGTTTGTATAATGAAATCTATGAGCTTTATAGAAAAGCAAAGCATTCATTCCACCATCAAATTATTTAAAAATTCCATTTTTATATAAAGTTATTACACTAAAGACTATGAGAATAAAAAGTAAAATTTTATGAAATTATAAAGGACAGTCTTTTTTTCTTAATGGCATTGTATCTCATTAGGAACTGGATATGAATACATTTCCTCTAGTTTATCAGTGTACTGTGAGTATCAATCTGAATTCTACTAATTTTTCATTCTCTGTATTTTTCTTTTCTCCTGTTTGCTTCCCTGTTGAAGGCTGAGTATGAGTTTATCAGCTCTGGTCTCTACCTAGTGGTGTTATTGCACTTGTGCGAACAAAGCTTTTCTGATATGATGGGAAATACAAATGAACCAAGCACACGTGTCCGAGTAAGTAATAATGAAGTTGGGGAGAGGGAGGGTTGTGATCCAGCAAGTGTTTGCCTTGGAAAGCAGATTGTTTTATATGTTCACGTCTTACTTCCTTTGGGAAGCTTTTATTTTTATAGTGTTTCTTAAAAATGAAGATATTGTAGATTTAATGGAAATTTGTGACTTCTGTAACAAGCAGCCTGATTTTCTCATAAAGCTGTTTTAGAGAAGTAATTTTCTAGCTCTCGAAGGTAATTGGAATGTATTTAATTGAAAAAACAGAACTGGAAACATCAAGGGAAAATGGGCTTTTTCTTACTAAAACAGAACCTCAGTATTATCACTTAGAAACCTGAAATTGAACTCCAAGAGCAAAGAGTATGGGAAATTAGCTTCAATTTATTTGTTATTGTTCTATAAAATATTACCAATGTACTAATTTTTAAGTGGCCGTATTACAAACTATTTTAGATATGGAATAGTTGGTTGTTTACTATGTACACTATTAGCCATAATATGACATTTTGGCTAGCTGTTTGTTAGGTATTTATAAGTAAATTATGCTTTTTGCCTCAGCGCACCGGAGGAAACTTCATGCTTTGCTTGTCTGGGCCATTTTGTGTAGCAAGGGCTAGGGTCTCTATATATCTGCCATTATTGTAGTATTCTGAACACTTCATATCTTGAAATATGTTTATAAGTATATCCTTCAAACTTTATTATATTACTGTTAACTTTGATGATAAAAATGTAGTAGAGTTAATGTAATGTTTTCATTTCGAGAATTATCACGTAACTGCAATTCAATGTGTATATTACTTCTAAATTAGTAAAATATTTTTCTGTATTTTATCATCATGTGGACATTATTCCAGTGAGCCAGTTAACAGATAATGATCATTGAAGAACATTATTATTATCTATTAAGAGCATTCAGAATTTGAGCAAAGCTCTCTTGACTTCTAAGTACTTTAGAAATTGTGAGCCCCTAAAACCTTAATACTGTAAAATGATTTCTAAAAAGGTACCTTAATTCTTCAGAATGAATAAACCATATAAAACCTGTAATAACTTTTGAATTTCATGTGTTTATAAAAGTTCATATTTACAAGTTTTAAGGTGGAAAATAACAAAATGTTGGATAATACTCCAAAGTGGAAGTCGTTAGGATTTTTTTTTTTTAATGAAAAAAGTATACTTTTTTTGGAATAAAATGTATACTTTATCAAATTTAGGTAGGAAAATATGGATTCTTGGGAGGTTTTTTTTATTTTGTTTTTTGTTTTTTATGGCCACTGAAGTTGAATTTATTTGGGTCCAAATACAAGGGATGGTTTTTTGGCTTTTTTCCCTCCATTTCATAATTTTTTCAAGTGTTATGAGAAAACAGTATTATTGGATAAAATTATTTTATCTGCTCCCAATTTTAAAAAACTGGTTTCTACATGATTATAATGATTATATAAAACATTTAAAAATTAATACCATTAAGCTTGTAATTTTTGATGTTGGGGGGATAAAGACCCCTATTTAAAGGCTTTATGATGTTTGACTTATTAAGTAGAAATGAATCTCCTATACTGATTCTCTCTTTAGAACCATTTGCAACATTTAAACTACTGTATTTCTTTCTGCATTGTTTCTAGTTTATTAACCTTGCAAGAACTCTTCAGGCACATATGGAAGATCTCGAAAGTAGGTGGAATTTCCCCCCTCCCCAGACTTGTTGAATTTACTTTTGCAAATTAAATCCACAGAGAAAAACCTAAGTATAACTCTTTTTTGCCAAATTAGAGCTTCATTTATAGGCTTAATAATACCAAAATGATTGATTTGGGAAATATGGGTTGGGCAACTGACATTAGTTTTTTTAAAGCATATTTTAAAGTATGGAAGAAAGTAATTTTAACTGCGAGTATTTCCCTTTTTTTTTTTTTTTTTTTCCAAAGAGAAATTTGTTGATCACCTTGATTTCAGGATTTATAATTAAGAAGAAGGCATAAATCTTAACTACTAATCAAACCATATTTCTTAATCTGTTAGGATTTTTAAAATTTTGTTTTTGGTAAGAAATTTTGCCTGTTTACTCAGATTTGTTAGATCATAAAAGATATTCCTGGGCTTGTATATGATTCCAGGAAAATATGGGACCGGGAGTCATAATTCTGAATCCCTATCAGAAGCCATAAAGGGCTTATTTTGGTGAGGTTTTTTTTTTTTTTTTTTTTTTTTTTTTTTGGCTTTTTGTAAGTCCTCATGGACCTTTAATAGGTAGCCAAGCTCTACCAGTAGCTCCAGTGTCTTAAGATCACATTCCAGCGTCAGGATTTCTGCCTGGGCTCATAAGTGAAGGTGCTTAATTCCCAAATCTTGACAGGCATCTGTACAGCTTACCTTCTTTTTAATCTCCTGGAACTTCCAGTGTGCTTCGTACCATGGGGCACAGGTATTGGTGGCTCTGAAACGGTTCCTGGCAATTGAAGATTACCCCACCCAACCCCTGCATATTTTACTTTTTTACCCTTCATTACCCATTCCAAAACACTACTCGAAGTGTCTTTTTAAAATACGTATTCTTCAGTTGATTACTTTCTATACTCGTCTTTGAACTATTTGGAGTGTTATCTATAGTATGCATACTGTTTTTACCTTTAGAGAAAGCTCAACATCCTTTGAAGTTAAGTTTAAAAAGGACTTAGTCCTCATAGGAACCTTTTAATTCTAGATAATCTAAAACATAGATTTTTGTCATTAAGTGTATGCTACTTTCAAGTTTTAAAAGGATTTGAGATGGAATCAGGTAACATTTTCACAGTTTTAATTAGGATGTGTGAAAATAAAGGAGTCAGTGCAAACTCCTTTGGTATAAAATTTTTTTCCCTTTATACCTTCGTTTCATATCCCGTATGTTGGCCTAATACAAAGGTCTCTCTGTTTTGTTTTTTTTTAAATTATATACTTTGTTCAATACAAAGGTCTCTCTGTTTTGTTTTTTTTTAAATTATATACTTTGTTCAATGTCATGATAGTAATTTGTTTCAGTGTATGTTTTCCCCAGATTTCTCCATTTTAAAAAACTAACATTATCATTTAAAATTTAGTTTCTTAAACCTAGTATTGTCCCCTCCTAATGTGGGAAGAAAAAGATGGAGGTGAAATATGTCCAAACTCAACTGAGCATGAAAGACATGGGTGCTACAAGTTAACCCCTAAATACCTGAAATGGATTCTGACTAAATTATCGTCTCCTGTGGAGTGGAGTTAAATGGAAAAACACAAGAAGTTTCTTAATAAGTCGTTATTTTTTAGTTTGGAATTTCTCAGTGATATAGCATAAAACTTAATAGAGTTTGTATCAGTCATGAGCTAGTTATATGTTTGTGTCATTTATTAAATGGATTTAAACTATTAGTGTTGCATAGTTTTTCTGTGCTTTGCCCTAGGTTGATTCCATTTGTTGGCTGCTCTTAATTTGTCCAATGTAAATATGAAAAGAGTGCATAAAACCTTTCTGCCCTTGATAATGGGGGAAAGATGGTGGTTAGATGTTTATTTTAGTGAGTATGCGTTTTCTTTCACATGCAAAGCAGTTCATAGAATTCATAGTTTTATGCTTACTGTGTCCTTCCAAAAGACACCCAGGATGCTTTATTTTTAACTCTTGAGCCACTAGTGACTCTTGAATAAATTGAGGTCAGAAATATTGCAAAGGTGATAAGTTTCTGACAGTGTGGAGACTGGGGAATAATCTCAACAATAGGTTTTACTGAATCCAGTTACTTTAATTTAGGCTGTGTCTATATGAAGCATTTCCAACTTACTAAATGAGCTTTTATCTTGGCATTGTATAGACATAGCTTTGATGTAAATTGCAAGAACACCCATAACCTCTTATTCTATGTACATTTCTTTTCATTCTCATCGGATGCATCAAACATGCAGCGGTAATAAGCCAGATTCTACTCAGGTGTGTGAGAGCACTTGCCTTAAGTTCACTTTTTTTCCTAGTGTTTATATATCATTAGCTACTATGAACACAGATTTATCTCAGAAAAAAATGTTTAGAAGATGCTCTTGAACATTTTTAAGCATTTTCATTTTTATAAAAATTGATAGAACATTACAAAAAGATGTGGGGGGCGGGGGCATTGTGGATGGGAATCACCCGCAGTCAAACCACCCTAACCCTGTCATATAACTTATCATTTTGATTAAACAATATACTAAATTGGGATTTTTATTTTTACAAGTCATTGCTGTTCTGGCTTCATATTGACACTTCCCATTTTTATCCCCCTTAAAATCATTCTTGACTATCCTGTTTTCTTTCAACAGCTTCAGAGGATGATTCCGAAGAAGATGGAGACCATAACAGGACATTTGATATTGCCTAACTTCATATAAGACAGATGGATGATCTGTGAACACAAGTGTTTATTAAAACTGGCAATTAAATATAAATTAATTTTGTGGGGGAATGCCTAATAAATACATTGACTATATATAAAATGAATATATACATACACATGTATGCCTGTATATATATATTCATTCTCAAGTGTTGCTGAATTAAAATTCTGCTGGACTTTTTTAACACAGCAAATCTGATGTTTATAAACTGGTAATCAAAAAGGTTTTTTTCTTTTAGGTGAGTGGGAAAGTATTACCCTTGTTTTAAATATCTAAGCAATGCCCATCAACCCTTTTCTGTGTTCTGATTACTATAGTCATATTTATGAAAAAAAGGTTTGTGTTTTAGTCTCTTGCTAGTGAGAAAAGTGGGACAAAATATGCGTTTGAAATTAAAACCATATGGCACCTAATTATTTTTCTTTTAAAATGCCTTAAGTTGCAGTCTCATTTTGATAATCATTTGCTTCCAGTGTTTAAAAACAAAAACTAAAAAAAGAATGGGAGATGGTTCTGAGAAGAGCATTATATTAGGTTTCCAAATTTAATTTGAATTCCAAATTCACTTAGCAATAAAATCTAATTTTTAAAAAAGTATATAAATATCAAATGCATAAATGATGGATGCATTTTTGTATTGATTTGCAAAATGCAGATTATATTTGATAGGCTATAGTATGTAGATATTCCTTTTAGGAATATTACAGCTGTAAATTATATGAGAATTGCCAGTCAAATGCTATTTGGTTTTAAAAAAAATATTGCAATCTCAAGTTAATGGAATATTTTTAAATCCCACATTCAGAGTTTAAAACACTGGTTTTCAATGTGTTTTTTAGTGTTGTCACTTCTTTATAGATAAATATGATATAAATAACCTGTTTGGATTCTGGTCGTTTTTAACTGTTACTTGGTAATTCTGAGCATTTATTTGATGACTTAGTATTTTTCACTACCTTTGGATGGCAGATGAACGTTATTCACCATGAATGGATCTACACTGTGGTCATGAGTTGTGTATACTTACATAACACTGTATTTTTTCTTCTGTCAATACCCTTTAGATACACTTTAAAACACCTTAAGGTCTGATGTTATTGCAACAAACTACTTTTTCAAACCTAAATAGGAACCATGTAATTTCTGAAAAGTGAATGATAATTTGCCCACACTTAAGTTTGTTGGTTTTATGTAAAACATTGGCTCGAAATAAAGTGCACACTGATTTATTTACAGTTTGAAATGTTTCCTTTTAAACTGGTGTTCAAAGAATTCAAACTTTATAACCAATAATTTTATTAAAATTTCAAATCTCATATAATAATATAAATGTTCTAAAACATTTGCTCACCTCTTGTCAGTTGTTTTTGCATTGTTTGTTGTAAAGCAAAAATATAAAATTTAAGGGTGGTAGTTTTAATATATTCTGTGGGTCCTTAGAGTGCTTTGAATTTGAGCATATATACTTTCAATAAAATTCAGTGTAATAGTTGTCCTTAGGGATGCTTTGAATTTGAACATACATAATTTTAATAAAATTCAGTATGTTAGTTGTCTTCTGCTTAACCCGTAAAACTTTATTTAAAAATTTTAACTAGTACAAAACATTCATTGGTATGCATATCAGATATTCTATATAGTTTTGTCATTAAATGCTAAATGACAGTGATAACAATGGCTTAAGCTTTGCAGTATTCTTGTAGTTTTCCAGTACCATTTAGTATTTTAATATTGTCATATTAGCTTCAGATTATCATGTAAATGACAGAGGAATAAGAGAAAAGGCTTTCATTGGTTATCAGTTTTAAACTCAGAATTAAAGAGACCATACATTTTTCTAACAAAATATAGTTTAAAATGTTATTCTAAATATCTGCCAAACAAAGAATTATATTGTTATTACTAGCTAGAACCAAGATGTTGAAGAAAGCAGTTTCTACATTCTGAATGTAGTAAACAAGCCTACCTGTGTAACCCAATTATTTCTTGACTAATGAATATATAAGGGGCCTGTTATAGATGTTCAGGTATATAAAGAAAATGAAAATGTAGGCTGAGCAGGGTGGCTTATGCATGTAATCCCAGCACTTTGGGATGCCAAGATGGGTGGTCACTTGGGGTCAGGAGTTTGAGACCAGCCTAGCCAACATGGTGAAACCCCATCTCTACCAAACATGCAAAAAGTTAGCTGTGTGTGGTGGCAGGGGTCTGTGGTCCCAGTTACTCAGGAGGCTGAGGCAGAATTGCTTGAAAACCCACAAGGCAGAGGTTGCGTTAAGCCAAGGTCAAGCCACTGCACTCTAGCCTGGGTGACAGAGCGAGAATCCATCATATATATATATATAGAGAGAGAGAGAGCGAGCGTACACACTTCATTACCAGAGGCCTCTTGCCCTATTGAAAAATGAAACCAAATATTGAAAATTAAATGTTTAAAACAGCTAGTTTGGAAGAGCTGCCATTAGGTAGAAAGTATGAAAACATGCAGAAGAAAGTTGTATGGGAGTTGAGTAGAAGGTAAGATTTAAGAGCAGCACAGCCCAATAAAGCTTCCTTAATGAAAAAGTTCTGTAATCTATGTTGCCTGGTATAGTACCTACTAACCACCTGTGATTTGGACACTTGACAATGTGGCTAATGTTACTGGGAGACTGGATTTTAAACTAAATTCAGTAGCCTCATGTGGCTAGTGGCTCATCGGACATTGTAGTTCTAAATGTTTGAGACTGTTGGTTTTAAGTTGGACTTACTCACTTTCTACCCAAATTCTACCACTCCTTTAAGAATTCCTTTAGAACTCTTAGTTCCCATAATACACCATGTTTTTACTGTGCCTGTGGTTCTTCAAGGACTGGTAGAATTTGGGTAGGAAAATCAGGAATTCTAGGGTAATGTTCACTATTGACATTAATAGCCAATCAATAATAAAATAGACTTCTTTATCACTACACAAAATCTCAGAAATGTAAAGCTCTTACGGAGCATGATTGTCTAACAGCTAGTGTAATGCCTGCATTTTCAATACCAAGTAGCCACACTGTTGATGATAGTTTTCTGTCACTTTTTAGTTACTCATGTCTCGTTAGTGCCATTAATTGTGATGAGGCATGTTTTCAATTTATGTGGTCAATAAAAAGAGATTACACAAGCTGGGACTTTGTTGCCATTAGTCAAGCTAGTGAGATAGTGTATCTCCCCACAAGAAAGTAAGATAATTGATGGGGTGTGGATTCAGGAGAGGGACTGCTTTTCTTTGAGCTTCAGACTTATAAACAGTATACTTCAGTCAACAATGGAACACATATAGAACGGTGTTCCTATAGTAGACCATACTTTTACCTTTTCTATATTTAGATACACAAATACTTAACTGTTACAGTTGCCTGTAGTATTTAGCACGGTAATAATGCTGTGCACATTTGGAACAAAATAGGCTATACCATCTGGGTTTATGTACGTACAGGCTGATGTTCACACAAAGATTCCTTAACTACACATTTTTTAAAACATGTCCCCATTGATAAAAGTGATACATGACTAATTTACATGAAATCTATACATTCTTGCCTGTTTTTGAGTTATTGATGGTTAGGAAAATCACTTAGCTTTTTCTTTTACTCCCCAAATGATTTTCACCTTTTTCTTAAAATGTACAATAAATGTACTAAAAACTTTGATCATCATCACCACAGTTATACTTAGTGTCTTTGGTTTTTGCGTACAGTTTTCATGTCTTTGAAAGAAAAATTAATAAATGCTTGAGGAGAATGAGATATATCTTGTATAGGGGAAGGCACAAAAGGTATGGTGGCAGGAGAGAAATCCTTAAAGTGGCACTCTGATATATGTTAACCTAATTGCCAGCTTTCTCCATGCCTTCCTGGACACAGCCATCATATTTTGTTTGAAAAAATTTATAAACTTCCATTAAAACTTGAATCGTGATAAAATGGTGTGTGTAAAAGTAATGAAACTAAAATTAAGGGGTGTTGTAAAAGTTGTAAAATTTTCTTCATCTAAATCATAAAAGGAGATATACATTCTAGAGGAATTACCTGCCAAAGTAACCATTATCAAAGAAATTTAAATGTATGGGATGTACTTAAAATCACTTATTCCCCATTATTTACTAATAAACATATAAGTAAATAGAAGGGAAGATACATCAGGCAAGACAAATAGGCTGGGCTTTTATTTTTATCTGCTTCTTGGGCTTAAAGCTTTCCTTCATTCAAGTGACATTCTGCATTTGACGAGGTGGTTAAAATCACTGCATTAGTTCTATGATCATTTCTAAAACCTGATTCTATGATGAACCTAAAAATTTTTGTCACAACAGATGAATACATAAAAATAATGTTACTAAAATAAGGAATACCATTAAAGTTCTAAGATCCAATGTCAAGTTTTATATTAAAATCCTTCCCAAGAATCTCGGCCAAGGCATTTTGTTGATATCTTAGTGCAAGATTACCAAAAGCTTAGTCAAATTGAACAGGATATTCATTTTCTTCTGCAACTACCAAAACACAGTCTTCGTTATAAGGTGATTCGGATGCAGTTGAAAAAACTGTGGTGAAATGAGAATCAGAATGTCTTTTGTACAGGAACCAAATGATTGCTCCCAAAACTGTCAAAATTACTGTGCTGGCAATCACCAATCCTATTAAAATGTGGTTATCTGAAAAGGAAAAGACAATATATGGGAGATTCAGATACACAAGCTGCAAGTATATTTTGGGGAGAACAACTGTAGTTTAGTGTAAACATTTCTCTGTGTTGAGAATTTCCCACACTGGTGAGAAAACAAAAATTTCACATTTATTACTATCAAGATTTGTATTTGCCTGAAGAACATTACTCAAATTTTCTAGGAAGTTGTGCGCTTCTTCACTCTACTTAAGATCCTAAAATGGAAATCACCATGCTCCAGTTTGTCTTCCTTGGCTTTACTTTCTGACCTAAGACTACAAATTCAGACTTACTCTTCCCTTTAGGAATTGAAGTATTTAGATATTGTGTTATATTATTAAGGTCTAATGGTTCACCTGGCTTTGGGAATTTAAGATTTGTTTAACTGAAAAAACACCAAGAGTTGCAGTAAGTACCTTGCTTTTGTGTGTCTTTCCATTCTTTGATTCTTTTGTTTCCCTAAAGTTCTATAAGTATGCACAACTTTGCAGTTCTTGCCCATTCAAAACCTTTTTTATCTTTCTATAAGAATCCAGTCTAATAAATTGAGGAAAATCACTTGGTTTAGAAGTCAGGGGGATGAAAATACTTTTGGGCAGGTACTTGTATTATATATAGTAATAGACTAAAGAATGTGAAAATTCTTCAGAATTACTTTTTTTGGCAGATTTTTGATTATTAAATATATTCATAATACTCATTCTGGTGCTTGTTAAAATGAGACCTGGAAGAATTTAAGATTAGTGAGAGAAATCTGGCCAAAATTATTTGTTAAAGTGAGGGAGAGCCATTGATATTTTTCAAATATTGACAGGATTTTTTGGGAGAAGTAAGGAAATGGCCACAAGTGAATTATCTTTTTAATCCTGAAATAAAATTTGGTAGTAAAGATTTGGTAACGTGTGAGGGCGGGTTTGGTGGTGGTACTATTAAAGACATTAAAATGAAAAAAGCCAAGATTCTGTAAACTGATTTAAAATGGGTTCCTTCCATTAGTTGGTTACTGCAACCTCTGCCTTCTGCGTGCAAATGATTCTCATGCGTCAGCCTCCCAGGTAGCTGAGATTACAGGTATGTGCCATGATGTCCAGATAATTATATTTTTAGTAGAGACAGTTTGGCCATGTTGCCCATGCTGGTCTGAAACCCCTGGCCTCAAGCAATCTGCCCCCTATGCCTCCCAAAGTACTAGGATTATAGGTGTGGGCCACCATGCCCAGCCCCCTAGTTTTGTTAAAATTAGCATAGCTGATTTTCAGTATAGAACCTTAACATTACAAATGTGAACACACTGAGTCTACTAATGATTGTACAATAATACCTTCATAGTCAGTAGCATCTACTTTGAATAGTGATTACATGATAGTAATATAGAAAAAAACTTAAGTCTGAAATATGATAATTGAGAATTATTTACAGACTCAATCATATAGCTTTAAAAATTAGAAGACCTGGTATCCTAAGAACTGGACAGCATCCAAGATCGGTGGGACACAGTAAGTATACATGCTTGTATTTTCAATTCTGCAAGTGACTGTTGGCCAAAGTTACCTCCATGGGTTTTAGCTAGCTGCATACTACTAAAATGTATGACAAAGTCAATTGTCAAGGCAGCTGATGAGAGTCTATTAAAACAATATGTGGCCGGGCGCGGTGGTTCACGCCTGTAATCCCAGTACTTCGGGAGGCCGAGGCGGGTGGATCACGAGGTCAAGAGATCGAGACCATCCTGGTCAACATGGTGAAACCCCGTCTCTACTAAAAATACAAAAAATCAGCTGGGCATGGTGGCGCGTGCCTGTAGTCCCAGCTACACAGGAGGCTGAGGCAGGAGAATTGCCTGAACCCAGGACGCGGAGGTTGCGGTGAGCCGAGATTGTGCCATTGCACTCCAGCCTGGGTAACAAGAGTGAAACTCCGTCTCAAAAAAAAAAAAACCAATATGTATAGTTTCTATCTGGAGGTTAGGACAGTTTTTCATTAGGAAATAATATTATCTATGTCATTAATGAAAGGAAGAAACCATTGCTTGCCTGACTAAGCATATAATAGCTATTTGCCATGAATTTAAAAAAACAAAATTTAGGAAAAATCTTTTTTAGTTTAACAACGTTCCTTACTTGAGGAAACATGGCAAACACCGAAACAAGCTTTCACTTCTCTGTCATTTTTTAAGCTCATTTAATCCATTTTCTCAAAATTTCTTCTGAAATTTCTGTGGCAAAGGTTGCTAATGATCTCTGTATGACTAAATGCATAAACAGTTGGATGTTTTAGTTCATCCTGAGGTAACTAGATTGTTAGCTGTCCAGCCTTGAAGTTATCTCCTCACTTGGCTTCCCCGATATTGCCCTCTTCTATTTTTCAGACAACTACTTCCTAGTCATCGTTGTGCACTCAAAGCTTTCCATGGTTGATCTCAACCATTCAAGTCTTTTATGTAAATCCATAGATAAATATGTGTGTAGCCCCACTGTACTCCCAAATCTAACCTAAATTCTTGCAAACAACCACTTGGCCCAGTCATCCAATCTGGAAATTGTAGACTTCCTCTCTATTTTCAAGGCTACACATTTTTCTTTTGTTTCCTGTTTATCTAACTGCTACTTTCATGCCCTAGCTGTAACACTGATCATCTGAGGCCCGAACTATACAATATCCACCTCTCAAAAATGATGTGACACATTTTGTTGGGCTGTAACCTCAGGTTAGTTTGAGTGCCAACTGTGCATTTAATTACAAGGCACAGGGTTTAAATGACTTGCCCAAGTCCATTTAATAAATGGCAGCAAAAATTGAACCCTTTACCTTGGTCCTGATTTGTCATATCAGATAACCTGTCTTCTGTCTCCTGCTTGATGTCTACTTCTTGAAGATTTAACTCCTGCATCCTCTCCAGTAACCTTTGCTGAACACTTTGGACTAACTTGCCCTTTCCTGTCTGCTTGCCACACTAGGTGCATCCAACTATGGACACCTTAATTCTGTTGAAAGCATTCTTCCCAAAGGAGTCTTCCAGTTTACACTTGGTATGAAGGAGAACTCCCTGTTTGCCAAGATTGCGGCTACACTTAACTATTGGTTTGTTTCCTTGCTGCTTCAACTCCATATTCTCTACTGTTACTCCTTAAAGTCAGGCTAAGCCTAATCCCTATCTACATGATAGGCTTCTACTTTGACTTTAGGTCTTCATTCTGCAAAAACAAGGCCTTATCAAATGAGGACTTCCCTGGCCACCCTACTAAAATGCAATAGCTCCCTTCTTGTACTGGAGTTTATCCTTATCTTCCTTTTTTCCCTATAGGATATGTTACCATCTCACATACCATATTTTTGTTTTACCCTTCTCACTAGAATGTATGCTTGAGAGCAAAAGCTTTTGTTTTGTTCATTGCTCTTTCTTCAATGTCTAACTTTAGGGGAAAGCCTGACCCAAAGTGTTTACTTACTAAATTATACACACATTTAAGTAATACAGATTTACATATACACACATATGTACATGCATACATGTAATGAATTCAGAGATTACTTTTCCTGTAGTCTGAAGACGATATGTTGCCAGATCTTTTAACTATTTGTGGTTTTGAATCCATGGACCTATTTTTTTCTAAATGTTTCAACTTACATATATCTTTTTATTTTTTCCAAAGTAATACATTTACATAGCTTTAAAGTCATAGTTCTAGAAGATACATAATGAAAATACTGTGCTCCTGCTCCACTACTCCTCACCTGAACATCCATTCCTTAAAGTTAACTACCCCAGTTGCTTCAGCTATTTATCTTCATGTCTAAATAACTTGCATCCACTACTTGATTTTATTTAAAATGCAATTAAAAGAAATACATATAACAAATACCATCTTAGGTAAGCAGTAGCATTAAGTACATTCACTTCATGCTACATGACCACCATCCGTTCACAGAACAACTCATTTTGTAAAATGGAAAGTACCTATTAAACTCCCATTTCTCCCTGCCCTTACCCTTGGCAAACACTTTCTCGGTGAGGTTGACTACTCTAGGTACCTCATACTGTAGATAAGAATTATACAAAATTTGGCCTTTTGTAACTGGCTTATTTCCTCTTTCTCCTTTTTTTCTTCGTTCTCTTTTTCTCTTTCCTTCCCTCCTTCCTTCCCTTCTTTCCCTTCCCTTCCCCTTCCTTCCCTCCCATCTTCCTCTCTTCTTTCTCCCTCCCTCCCTTCCTTCCTTCCTTCCTTCGTTCCTTTCTTCCCTCCTTCCTTCTCGGTGAGGTTGACTACTCTAGTTACCTCATACTGTAGGTAAGAATTATACAAAATTTGGCCTTTTGTAACTCGCTCCTTCCTTCCTTCCTTCCTTCCTTCCTTCTTCCTTCCTTCCTTCCTTCTTCCTCCCTCCCTCCCCCCCCTCCCTCCTCCCTCCCTGTCTCCCCTCCCCTTCCCTCCCCTCCTCTTCTCTTTTCTTTTCTTCTTTTCTTTGGAGGATCGCTCTGTCTTACCCAGACTGCAGTGCAGTGGAGCAATCTTGGCTCACTGCATCCTCCGCCTCCTGAATTCAAGCAATTCTGCCTCGGCCTCCCAAGTAGCTGAGAGTACAAGCACCTGCCACCACACCCAACTAATTATTATTATTTTAAGTAGAGATGGGGTTTCACCATGTTAGCCAGGCTAGTCTTAAACTCCTTACCTCAGGTGATCCACCCACCTCAGTCTCCCAAAATGCTGGGATTACAGGCATCAGCCACTGCACCTGGCCTGTGATTGGCTTATTTTGTTTAGCCTAATGTCCTTCAGGTTTATGCATGTTATAGCATGTGTCAGAATTTTAAGGCTAAATGATATTCCATTGTATGTGCAGAATACTTTTTGTTTATCCCTTCATTCATTAGTGGACACTTGGATTGCTTCTTGCTTTTGGCTGTGGCAAATGATGCTGCTATGAACATAGATACACAGATATCAAAGAGATACGTGTAGAGATATCAAAGAGTCCCTGCTTTCAGTTATTTGGGATCCATACTCAGAAGTGGAATTGCTGGATCATAATGGTAGTTATTTTAATTTTTTTGAAGAGCCACCACAGTTTTTCACAGAGGCTGCAGCATTTTACATTGCCACCACAAGAGTTCTAATTGCTGCATGTAACACTAATGCTTGTTATATATTATCTTTCTCCTATTGATCAATGAGGATGTAACTCCTGTATACACACAAGCTTAGCACTTCTTTCCTTCTTCTCTATCATAGTCCTATTGTAGTAACCCACAAATAGAAAACTGACAAGAGACTCATATCCAATTTTTTTTTTTTTTTTTGAGAGGAAGTCTCACCCTGTCACTGAACCTGGAGTGCAGTGGCACGATCTCGGCTCACTGCAACCACCTCCACGTCCCAGGGTTCAAGCAATTCTCTCTGCCTCAGCCTCCCAATTAGCTGGGATTACAGGTGCCCGTCACCACGCCCAGCTAATTTTTGTATTATTTAGTAGAGACGGGCTTTCACCATATTGGCCAGGCGGGTCTTGAACTCCTGACCTCAGGTGATCCACCCACCTTGGCCTCCCAAAGTGTTAGGATGACAGGTGTTAGCCACCATGCCCAGCTGATATCCAAATTTAAAGAAACAAAATTTGCTTTAAAAAATCCTACCCATAATAAAGGCAACTTGATAAAAATAATATGGGTGGCTGGGCAGAATGCCTCACGCCTGTAATCTCAGCACTTTGGGAGGGTAAGGTGGGTGGATCACTTGAGCTCAGGAGTTCGAGACTAGCCTGGGTAACATGGGAAAACCCCATCTGTACAAAAAAAAATTAGGGGTGGCAGCCCACACCTGTAGTCTCAGCTACTTGGGAGGCTGAGGTGGAAGAATTGCTTGAGCCCAGGTGGTCGCGGCTGCAGTGAGTCAAGCTCACACCACTGAACTCCGCAAATGGGTAAAAGCCTTTTCACAAAAGATATACAAATGAATAATCATGTGAAAATTGCTCAACATCATTGTCAGGTAAATGAAAATTAAAACCACAAGAAGATCACTACATACCTGATCTGAATGGCTAAAATTAAAGAAATTGATAGTACCATCATAGGTTGAACATGGAGCAAATGGAACTTGCACACGCTTTCAGTAGGAATGTAACATGACTTAACCATTTTGAAAAATTATTTGGTGGTTTCTAATAAATCTAAATATATACTTGCCCTGTGACCCGGCTTTCTACTTTTTAGAATATACTCGAAGAAAATGAGAACATAGGTCCAAAAGAAGATATATGAGAATGTTCATAGGCAGCTCTGTTCAAATTAGTTTGAAACCAAAAGTTATCCAAATATCCATAAACAAGAGAATGGACAATATGTGATATATTTATAAAATACTATAAAGCTTAGGGAAAAAAATTCAGTGAATGTGCACAACATAGATGAATCTAAAAAAAATGCCTGAGTAAAAGAAGCGGAAGTTACATATTGTAGAATAAAACGTTGAGTCTTATTACTAAGCTAAGAGACCCTTCTATATTCTTATAAAAATTGTTCTACTTTATATTATGTAATTTTTAAAAGGGGTCTGTAATAGTATTTTAATATGCCAGAATTTTGATATATTTTTAATTGTGGGAAAATTTTAAAGACCAAGTCATTACTTACCTGATAAATATTTCCTTTTGTATGGGACTAAAAGACAAAAGAAAATAAAAATTAGAATTTAATTATGCTTTATTATAGGATTGACTTTAAACACATTCACAATCATTAAAAATAAACCCTTTTATTACTAGCTTACTTTCAATATATTCATAGCTTAAAATCCTTATTTCTTTGCCTCATTAATTGTCTCTCTTGTCTGTTTTGAACTTAGTTTTTAAAGAAAGAAGTAGAGGCCTAACAAAATGCATTAGCTTGTCTGGTGGAAAAGAATACAGGATCTTGAGGAAAAGACAATAATGAGGTAAAGGAAGTAAGAGGATTCTGGTTGGAGAGCCTGGAAAACAAATGTCATAAAAGTAAACAACTGGGACCCTAACTACCTTAGTATGGATGTACTCACCATTTCTGATGTTTTGAAGTTATAGTTTAATTAAAAACTTTGCTCATGTAATGGCACCCTGAGGTGCAGTACCTGAAAAGAACCAATTTTTTAAAAAATATTTCAAGTTGAATACTACTACCAATAAACTATGATGAATATTTTGATAATCACTGTAAAACTAATAGTAGTCAAGGATCCTGCTGTACCAAGTAAATGTACATAGGCCAGCGTGGTGGCTCATGCCTGTAAGCCCAGCACTTTGGGAGGCTGAAGTGGGTGGATCACAAGATCAGGAGAGCAAGACCATCCTGGCTAACACGGTGAAACCCTGTCTCTACTGAAAATACAAATTGAGCTGGGCATGGTGGCACGCGTCTATAGTCTCAGCTACTCAGGAGGCTGAGGCAGGAGAATCACTTGAACCCGGGAGGCAGAGGTTGCAGTGAGCCGCAGACGTGCCACTGCACTCCAGCCTGAGTGACAGAGCGATATCTGTCTCAAAAAAGAAAGAAAGAAATGTACATAATTCCACATGTAAAGAAAGGAAATAGAGCAGGATGTGGAGTTTTGGTTTATAGTGGAAGTAGAAGGGGAAAATACTAAAGATGCAAAATGGGGAAAGGGCTGCTTGTATCATGTTTCAAACACCCCGAATTCATATTTTGAAACATTTTTTTAAAAAGAAAACTTTTTTTGTAGAGAAACGCTCACACACATAACACTTTCAAAAACAATTTCCGATTAAATCCACAACCCTCCCTCCCCCCATCTCTGACTTTACCATCAACCTAGGTAAATGTATCCTTCTCAAACCCCAAAAACAAGAGACTAAAATGCAACCCAGTCAGAGCCCAGAAATCATATTTTAAAATACCCTAACAGCTACCCTTCAATTGATGTAATTTTCCTAAAAATCTTAAGACCCTCCTACTAAATTAAGCCTCCATTTATATAATAAATACAATAACTAAACTTCCACCCCAATACTAATACAATATCTTGAGCATACACCTCTGAAAGTGCTACCCCATGTATCACATCCTAAATCAATTATATTCTACTTATAAATAATCCTCTCAGCCAAACCTCTGCCAATTCAACTTTAAAGACCCTGAATTACTAGAACTGTAGACGACTATTTATACTTACTTCTTTCCTTCTCATATTTTAATTTTACGCTTAAGTATTTATGCAGTTAATGTAGCTTAATTATTCAAAGCAAGACACTGAAAACGTCTAGATGGGTCTGCACAACCCCATAAGCAAACAGATTTGGTCCTGGCCTTTCTATTAACTCTTAGTAAGATTACACATGCAAGCATCCCCACCCCAGTGAAAATGCCCTCTAGATCAACCCAATCAAAAGGAGCAGGTATCAAGCACACACAAATGCAGCTCAAAACACTTTGCTCAACCACACCCCCATGGGAAACAGCAGTGATAAATCTTTAGTAATAAACGAAAGCTTAACTAAGCTGTACTGATATGTAGCGTTGGTCAATTTCGTGCCAGCCACTACAGCCATACGATTAACCCAAGCTAATGAAACTCAGTGTAAAGAGTGTTTAAGATCTGCCGTCAGTAAAGCTAAGCTCCATCTAAGTTGTGAAAAAACTCCAGCTGAAATAAAATATACTATGAACGTGGCTTTAATACCCTGAAGACACAATAGCTAAGGCCCCAACTGGGATTAAATACCCCACTATGCTTAGCCCTAAATTCTAATAGTTAAATTAACAAAACCATTCGCCAGAATACTACAAGCAACAGCTTAAAACTCAAAGGACTTGGTGGTGCTTTATATCCCTCTAGAGGAGTCTGTTCTATGACTGATAAACCTTGATATACCTGACCACCTCTTGCCCTCAGCCTCTATACCATCATCTTCAGCAAACCCTAAAAAGACTATAAACACAAGTACATACATAAAAACATTAGGTCAAGGTGTAGCTTATGAGGTGGCAAGAAATGGGCTACATTTTCTTTACCCAGATAATCTCATGACAACCTTTATGAAATCTAAAGGCTCAAGGAGGATTTAGCAGTAAACCAACAGCAGAGTGCTTGATTGAATAAGGCCATGAAGCACACACACACACCACCCATCACCCTCCTCAAATATTGTCCTAGAAATTGCTATTACTAAAATCTATGCACATATAGAGAAGAGAAGTCATAACATGGTAAGTGTACTAGAAAGTGCACTTGGACAAACCAAAGTGTAGCTTAACCCAAAGCATCTACTTTGACCTGATACTTTGAGCCAACTCTAGTCCCAAACCTCACTAAAAATATTATTAAACCATCTTAATCAAACCATTCACCTTAGACAAAAGATAGGCGATAGAAATTTTCACCCTGGCTCAATAGACAGTACCATAAGGGAAAGATGAAAGAAAGCCATTAAAAAGTAAAGACAAACACTTACCTTCTGCATAATGCATTAACTAGAAAATAACTTTACACAGAGAACCACAGCCAAGTCCCCTGAAACCAGACAAGCTACTCAAGAAGAGCTGAAAGACACCCACCTATGTGGCAAATAGTGGGAAGATTCATGAGTAGTGGTGACAAGCCTACCAAGCCTGATGATAGCTGGTTGTCCAAGATAGAATCTTAGTTCAACTTTAAACTTACCCACAGAATGACTTAATCTCCCTGTAAGTTTAACTGTTAATCTAAAGAGGGACAGCTCTTTAGACCCTAGGAAACAACCTTCCTACAGAGAGTAAAAAATATTATCACCATAGTTGGCCCAAAAGCAACCACCAATTAAGAAAGCATTCAGACTCAACACCTAACTATTTTAAATTCTCATCACCCTACTGAACTCCTGACATCGTATTAATCTATTACTTACTAGAAGCAATAATGTTAATATAAGTAACATGAAGATATTCTCTATTGCATAAGCTTACATCAGACTGGAATAATCCACTGACAGTTGAGATGTTGAACACATTGGCGTTCCTCACACCCAGGCATCAGCTGTGATCATGTCACCAGGCATTGATCAAGTCAGGGTCACCACCTGACATGAGACACTGATCACCACCTGCAGAGGTCTGTCCCGTAGACCCTAATTGACAGATGAATGAAATACACTCACACACCCAGTACAGCAATTTGAGTGGGCTAGGGATGGTCCTCAGCTGCTTTAAGAGGGTGATTGCAACTAACTGACCACTACTCCCTGTTCCTCCTGGCATTTATTCAGTATAGGTTTAATAACAGAGATTCTAAGTCAACAGGCTTGTGGATAGTTAACATGGTTAAGAGTGGTTTTACAAATGATACAAGGTTTCGGTTTCAAGGGCCCAGAGTAAACACCATTAACAGGTAATTCCTCTTTGACCTCCCCCTAAGAGGATCATCCAGAACAAAGTTAACGTGAGTAAACAGAGTAGAGACAAAGGGATGTAGGATAAACAGACTTAACTGGGGAAGTTTCTATTATTCCTAATCTGTACCCTATGCTCTAAGATAAGAATTGGCTACGGTTCAGCTGGTCTCATTAAAACCTTTGGCCTTCCAAAAGGTTTGAGACTATGATCTTAAAACTTCCCTAATATTTCCCTTAATATTTTGCCAGCCACCTTGAGTGAATCTCAACAGACAGTTAACAGCCTAATATTAGTAAGTGATATAATAAGCATCCTATTATTTATACTGTTAATCCAACACAGGCATGCTCTAAAGAAATATTACAAAAAGTAGAAGGAATTCGGCAAATTTTACCCTGCCTGTTTAGTAAAAACATCACCTTTACATTACCAGTATTAGAGGCACTGCCTGCCCACTGACAAATGTTCAACAGTGGTATCTTGACGTACAAAGGTAGCATCATCACTTGTTCCCTAAATAGGGACTTGTATGAATGGGCACACGAGGGTTCAGCTGTCTCTTAATCAGTGAAACTGACCTGTCCGTGAAGAGAAGACCCTATGGAGCTCTAATTCATGAATAAAAATTAAAACTCGAAAAAACCTATAGCCCTAGCCTACGGTCCCTGCATTAAAAATTTTGGTTGGGGTGACCTCAGAGCATAATTCAACCTCCAAACAACCTAAAGTAAGACTACACTAATCTAAGTGAGTTAACACACTTTGACCCAATAATTTGATCAACAGAATAAGTTACCCTAGGGATAACAGTGCAATCCTATTCTAGAGTCCATATCAACAATAGGGTTTATGACCTCAATGTTGGATCAGGACATCCTAATGGTGTAGTCGCTATTAAGGGTTTGTTTGTTAAATGATTAAAGTCCTATGTGCTTTGAGTTCAGACAGGAGTAGTACAGGTTGGTTTCTATCTATTTAACATTTCTCCCAGTATGAAAGGACAAGAGAAATGGGGCCCATTTCATAAAGCATCCTCGCCCCATAGATGACGCTATCTCAGTCTAACAAATCATCACACACCCTACCCAAGAACAGGTTTTGTTAAGATGGCAGAGCCTGGCAATTGCATAAAACTTAAAACTTTATAATCAGAAGTTCAACTACTCTTTTTAACAATATGCCTATAATTAACTTTCTCCTACATATTATTCCCACTCTAATCGCTATAGCATTCCTTATACTCATAGAATGAAAAATCTTAGGCCATATACAACTACGCAAAGGACCTAACATTATAGGTCCCTAAGGACTGCTCCAACCATTCATTAATGCAATAAAACTTTTCACCAAAGAACCCTACAACTCTCAGTATCTACTATTACTCTTTTTATTATTGCTCCAACCCTTGCCATTTCTATCACTCTCCTCTTATGAACTCCCTCCCTATACCAGATCCTCTAATTAATTTTAATATGGGCCTCCTATTGATACTAGCCACATCAAGCCTAGCCATCTACTCTATTCTGTGATCAGGATGAGCAGCCAATTCAAATTATGCACTAATTGGCGCATTACAAGCTGTAGCCCAAACAATTTCATATGAGGTCATCCTAGCCATTATCCTGCTATCAGTTCTACTGGTAAGTGGCTCATTTAACTTGCATGCACTCATCACAGTGCAAGTTTGCTCTGATTGCTCCTGCCATCATGGCCCCTAGCCATAATATGATTTATCTCCACCCTAGCAGAAACTAACCAAGCCCCTTTTGATCTAACAGGAGTCGTCAGAGTTAGTCTCAGATTTCAACATCGAATATGCCGCAGGTTCATCTGCTCTCTTCTTGATAGCAGAATACATGATTATTATCGTAATAAATGCCCTAACTACTACCATTTTCCTAGGAGCACTATACACTATATATTTGCGAGAACTCTATACCACAAATTTCATTACCCAGACCTTCCTGGTAACCACACTGTTTTTTTTTTTTTTTTTTTTTTTTGAGACAGAGTTTCACTGTTGTTGCCCAGGCTGGAGTGCAATGGTGTGATCTCAACTCACCACAACCTCTGCCTCCTGGGTTCAAGCAATTCTCCCACCTCAGCCTCCCAAGCAGCTGGGATTGCAGGCATGCACCACCATGCCCAGCTATTTTTGTATTTTTAGTATTGATGGGGTTTCTCCATGTTGGTTAGGCTTGTTTCGAACTCCCAACCTCATGTGATCTGCCCACCTTGGCCTCCCAAGGTGCTAGATTACAGGCGTGAGCCACCACACCTGGCCTTAACCGCCCTGTTTTTATGAATTCAAACAGTATATCCTCAATTCCACTATGACCAACTCACATATCTTCTATAAAAAAAACTTCCTACCACTTATACTAGCATTCTGCATATGAAATATCTCAATGCCTGTTCTAATTTCCAGCACCTCACCCCAAACATAGGAAATATGTCTGACAAAAGAATTACTCTAATAAATAATAGAGGTTAAACTCTTCTTATTTCTAGAACTATAGGAGTTGAATCTACCTGAGAATCCAAAATTCTCCATGCTACCTATTACACCGCCTCCTAGAGTAAGGTCAGCTAAATAAGCTATCGGGTCCATACCCCAAAAATGTTGCTTTTACCCTTCCTGTACTAATTAACCCATTACCTCAACTTATTATTTCCCTTAATATTTTCACAGAAACTCTTATCACAGTGCTAGGCTCACACTGATTTCTCAAGTGTGAAGATGAGAGATGGTGGTCTTGCTATGTTGACCAGGCTGCCTTAGCCTCACAACGTGCTGGGATTACAAGCATGAGCCACTTTACCCAGCCCACATTTTGAAAATTTAGGTTTCCTTAATGAGAAAACATTTATTTTTTAAAACTTAAAACAACAAACTTTGTGTAGTGATTTAACAAATTACATCAAAATACTTTTGTGGGCCAGGATAATTCTGTTCATTAAAAAACCTTCTGATGGGTCAGAAGAAAATATTTTAACTCCAAATGAATCATAAACTATGATGTAGTTTTTGTTTGCCTAAACAGAGGATGTTAGTTCTTATGGAGAATCTAATTCTTTGTAAAGTAACATGAGGATTCTGAAATTATACATGATTATTCTTCACCACTTCTGCTCACTCAATTCACATGTAAAGAGATTACAATAATTCCTTTGAACAAGGAATTTTTGGTCTCTCGCAAACACTAAGCAGATAGACTAAAAGTAGGCCTGTTTCATGTGATCTGGCCTTACCTCCTAAATGTAAGAGAATTACAATTTGAATTCCAAGAGACTTGAGAGTAAACCATCCTATTAAAACATTCTGAGGTCTTATTCCCTATATATATATTTTTTTTCTTTGAGAGAATGTTGCTCTGTTGCCCAGGCTGGAGTACAATGACTCAGTCACTGCTTACTGCAGCCTCAACCTCCCAGGCTCAACTGATCCTCCCACCTCAGCCTCCCACATATTTGGGACTATAGGTGCACGCCACCACACCCAGCTAGTTTTTGTATTTTTTGTAGAGATGAGTTTTCACTCAAGCTGGTCTTGAGCTCCTGCACTCAAGCAATTCAGCGCCTCAGTCTACCATAGTGCTGGGATTGCGGGTGTGAGCCACCATGCCCAGCCTTATTCTATTTAATGAGGCACACTTATCTCAAATAAAATTATTTTAAAACTGGCCCTACTTTCTCTGCTTCCCCTAGAATGGAAAAACACCTCCGGTCATACTTACTAGCTGTTTTGCATAGTGTTCCTTCCACAGAAGAAACTTCACAATTTCCTTTTTTCCATTCACCTGTCTTGATGTGCAGAAAAGCACAGGTATCAACTAAATCCTCACCATCATCTTGGTCTGTCCACTTATCAAATGTCATATTTGAATGATCAAACCACTTGAAACTCGCATCTGTCAATGAAGGAATATTTTCAACACTATGACAGTTTTAAAAGGTGTTCAAAGCCAAAAAGGGTATAGGATTAAAGGTGGAAAGTTAATAAGGTATGTCTGGTCTAAACATTTGGTTGTAGGATTAAAATTAGAAGGAGAAGTATATCCTGTGTACAGCCAAATCATCAAAAGCTATTAAGAGGGTTCTGAAGATAATCCAATTTTTGCAAAAAAATCTATATGTATAATATTCTCATGGGAAAAAGCCAAGAAAAATAGTTAAAATATTAGTAGTAACCTTAGTAATTCCACTTCATTTGAAAATATTTACATATGTACTTTATATTTGTTTGTAGTAATGATAAATACATTTATTTAATAAAACCATGATAATTTAGTCTATCCTTAGCCTATTAGTTGCTGATGCTAACTTTTACAGATCATGCCATATTACAAAAATACCGAGCCTTAGAACCACATTTTAATCAAGACAAGAATCTACTGTGGCTTTCCTCTGTGTAACTCATTGAGCTATACAGGGACAAGCTGTGGTTCGATCATAGGTGCACACTGAAAATGTAACACCTGGAGGCCACAGGAATCATCAACTTGAACTAGAGAATTGAAGAGCCATCAGTTTTACTACATTAAAAAAAGAAGAACAAAGTCACATCCCATGAGGTAAATATCGCTTACCATCTGTGTCATAAAACATGCCCAGTAGGATATCATCTGAGCCTTTCCATTGCTTTTTCAAAGTATCCAATATAAAAGCATTTTCTTCTTCATTATGTATGCTTATCATGTCTGCTCCTGAAATTATTTTAAAGAGAAAAAAGTCAGCATATTCCAGAATCAGTGAAAATCACTAGCTACATAAAAATAATTAACTTTTTATATATATTAGAGCTGGACAATAAACTTTGATCTTATGGTTCATACAAGCTAATAAGGGTATAGGCCTTGGCTCTCAGCCTCTAATGATTTATGTCATTGAAATTATGTTTGTGTCTCAGTATACCTAATATAAGTTGAGGTTTTTTTTGGGTTTTTTTTGAAGGGATAGAAAATAGTTGTAGGGGCCAGGCATGGTGGCTCACACCTGTAATCCCAGCACTTTGGGAGGCTAAGGCGGGTAGATCACCTGAGGTCAGGAGTTTGAGACCAGCCTGGCCAACATGACAAAACCCTGTCTCTAACAAAACAACACAAAAAAACATTAGCTGCGCCTAGTGGTGCATGCTTGTAATCCCAGGTACTCAGGAGGCTGAGGCAGGAGAATTGCTTGAACCCAGGAAGTAGAAGTTGCAGTGAGCTGAGATCATCCCACTGCACTCCAGCCTAAGCAACAGACTGAGACTCCATCGAAGTGGAAAAAGAAAAAGAGAAAGAGAGAAGAGGAGAGAAAGGAAAGAAAGAAGGAAGAAAGGGAGGGAGGGAGGAAGGAAGGAAAGAAAATACTCACAGGCGAAAACTTGTTTTAAAAATCTTTTAAGACCAACAAAATTGCTATTATTTTATTTCAACTGCCTTGAAATAAAACCATATTGGCATGTTGGAAATTTCATCTTGTTTTCACAGAGTCTACGTTCAGGTAAGACTTTTTCAAAGGGAAACAACATATATGTATTAAGTACTATGTGACACTTTAATAAGATTAAATAACTTTTGTGTTTACATTTATTCCTCCTATAATAAATGTATATGATTTTGATTAAGGTATCCCTAATACAATTTGATACATTCTTCCAAATGTTATATTGTTGAAGAATATAACAATAATAAAAAGCACCTTTAAAGAATCAGGACTCTCATATCACCAGGTTAGATATTTGGGTTAAAAAAGATGCTAGTCAATCACAGTTTTAGTTTGAGCTAACAAGTGTCACAATAATTAGAGGCTCAATGAAAGGATACATTTTGGGCCCAGTAGCCCAAAATAGCCCATAAATAAATAAATAGCATCCAAGCAGTTTTTTAAAAATGACTTTTTTTTGGTTGGATGCAGTGGCTCACACCTGTAAATCCCAGCACCTTGGAAGGCCAAGGCAAGAGGATCACTTGAGGCCAGGAGTTTCAGACCAGTCTGGGTAACCTGGTGAAACCCTGTCTCTATAAACAAACAAAATAGCTAGTACATGCCTGTAGTCCTGTCTATTCAAGGGGCTGACATGGGAGGATCACTTGAACCCAGGAGTTCAGGGCTGTAGTGAGCTATGATCACGCCACTGCACTCAAGCCTGGGTGACAAAGCAAGATCCTGTCTCAAGAAAAAGACATTTTTATTTAAAATATTTTAGAATGTGAAGTTATAAATCTATTTCCCAGAGAACACTGAGAGTATGCTGTAGCAAACAGTCTTTTTATAATTATTCCTTAATGTACTCTTCTTTACTATGGTCTTCATTCATGTCCCATGTAATCTGACTTCAGCACTTTCCAGGCAGAAGAACTAAGTGATTAAGAACTCGAAGCCTAAAATCCAACAAACCTAGGTTAAAATCCTGGCTTTGTCAATTATTTCCTGTGTAACCTTGAACAAATAACCTAAGTTAATTTTCATCTCTCAATAAAATGATAATAATACACTACTTGATAGGTTTGTTATGATAATTAAAGCCAAGTAAAGTATATGCTGTGCTTAAGCATAGTGCCTGGCATAGGATATGCATGTTAAATAGACCCGACTTTGGACAGTATTATCCAACACCTGTCTTCCAACTCCAGGATTAAATATATACCCAATTCCACTGCCTGTAGCTTGTGTGTTGTCAAATAAAAGTTGTATATTAAATCTCAGGGCCCAGTTAAAAGCGATGTGACAAAATCAATTTTTAAAGAAATTAATGAATGTTATTTACTAATTTGTGAAAAAACAAAAAAGAATAAGCCTTTTACCATGGTCCGTACACTGATTTCTGACATCCTCTATGCTTTCTACTTTGATGGCTTCTTGGAGAAAAATGTAACAACTGTCTTGGAACTGAATCCAGCCAGATGAAGGACAGTCTATGTAGAAAAAAGAAAAACTATGTTAAATAACTTGAAAAAAAGAATTACATAAATTCCCAAAGATAAGGACATTAGATATTAAAGTTTCACACACACATAAAGGCAATTTCCTTTGTTAAATCTTTATTAAAATAAGAAATCAACCAGTGTAACAGGAATTTGTTTCTCTCTATTAAATATACGGGAAAGGAGAAATGTGCCAATGATTCTCTCTGACTTTACAGAGGAAAGATAAAAGTTTTTAGGTTGTTTAGGAACTCAGACATGTAAATTAGTGTTATTACCAAGGTAACAAACTATCTAGAAGACAACCAATGAGACTTTTTTTTGAAGGTTATCTTTGCAGCATATAACGGTTTCAAAAGTAGATTCTTTGAGGTAGCTCAATAAAATAGGACTATAACTCTTCCTCTATTGCTGTAAAGGGACATCTCCCTCACCTCTATCTTGGTCTCTTTTTGTTTATTATAAAGATGTGCACTTTTAAGCCTAGAATTTAATTGGTTAGCATTATATAGATATTTTATGTTTAAGTTCTGCTTTTTTTTGAGACAGGGTCTTGTGCTGTCATTCAGGCTGGAGTGCAGTGGCACGATCTCAGCTCACTGCAACTTCTGCCTCCTGGGCTCAAGGGATCCTCCCACCTTGGCTTAACTGGTTTAAAGTCTGGGCTGTGATCCATCTGGGCAAAACCAAGAATTTGGAGGTCAACTTGTTGTATAAGGTAGATAAGGAATAAAATTTCATCTTCCTCAGTATGAACATAAGTTCTGATGAGGTCACCATGGGGTTGGTTGCAAGTGTTTACTCCATGGTGGCACATACCTGTAGCTAGGAGTACAGGTATGTGCCACCATGCCCAGCTAATTTTTGTATTTTCTGCAGAGATGGGATTTTGCCATGTTGCTCAGGCTGCTCTCAAACTTCTGAGCACAAGCGATCCACCTACGTTGGCCTCTTAAAATGCTGGAATAACAGGCGTGAGCCACCAGGCCCAGCCTAAGTTGTGCATTACATTTTTAATATAAACAAGTAGAAGCAAGCCCTACCACAAAGATCAGAATTTACCAATTAGCTACATTAATCTAAGTTGATTCAACACTCTCAGTTTTACTAAGCTCAGAATATTGTCCCCAGTACTGACCTCAGCTGCTTCTTTTTTTTTTTTTTTTGAGATGGAGTCTGGCTAGAGTGCAGTGGTGCGATCTGGGCTCACTGCAATCTCCACCTCCCAGTTCAAGCGATTCTCCTGCCTCAGCCTCCCAAGTAGCTGGGATTATAGGTACCTGCCACCACGCCCAGTTAATTTTTGTATTTTTAGTAGAGACAAGGTTTCACTATGTTGACCAGGATGGTCTTGAACTCCTGACCTCATGATCCACCCACCTCAGCCTCCCAAAGTACTGGGCTTACAAGCGTGAGCCACCACACCCAGCCTGACCTCAGCTTGTTATATATAGCACAGAGCACATGGCCGCCAAGCTAGATTGCTTCAAAGTCTAATAACTTCTTCATAATGAGAGTTGAGCAGAAGTGGATGTTCAACATACCAGTCTTGCCTTTAAAAGGAAGCAGTGTGTCCCCTATATTTGTACTTACTGTATCAGACATTTTTTTTTTTTTTTTTTGAGAACAGAGTCTTACTCTGTCACCCAGGCTGGAGTGCAGTGGCATGATCTTGGCTCACTGAAACCTCTGCCTCCCAGGCTCAAGAGATTCGTGCCTCTGCCTTCTGATTAGCTGGGATTGAAGGTACACACCATGACACCCGGTTAATTTTTTAATTTTTTTGTAGAGATAGAGTCTCACTATGTTGTCCAGGCTGCTCTTGAACTCCCGAGCTCAGCAATCCTCCCACTCTGGGCTCCCAAAGTGCTGGGATTACAGGCGAGAACCACTGTGCCCACCTATAATTTATTTTATATCCAAGTTTCTTTTTCCTTCCAGCTGTTTCATAAGCACTTGAATTACACATATGACTACCTTGGGTTTAACTCTGGCAGGAATCTAGAACTCTCCCGCTATGCTTGCTTAAAGATACGATGTTTTGCAACAAGCACTTTGCTTTGGGAAAAGTGTTCATTGTGAAATATTAAATTAAAGCAATGTGGCTATACGATTACATGATACCAACATTTACAAAGCAAAGAAGTCCAGAAAAGAGTCAGGAATTGGAGGTGCCGGATAACTTTGTAGGAGGAAGGTCTGAAAAAAAGACACTTGGTTGAAAGTCTGTACATGGAGCAGGTAGATCCTCTCCCTGAGAAATAGCCGTCAGCCATCTCAGGTTCATCATACATTTCTGCCACCTTCTTTGAAAGTCTGGCCTTCATTCAGAGAACATACTTTTATTTCTTCAAATCCACTTCTAGGCCATCAAACATTATTCTCTGTCTGCTCATCCTTTGAGGCTCAGGCCATCTATACCACCTTCTCCAAGACATCCCCACTAGAATTGATTTTGACTTTTGCATGTAATTTCACCATACACCATCCACTGGAAGTGTAAAGTACCAGCAGGAACACGGCTTTAAAGTCAGACAGACTTCCGTTTTCATTTTGGTGGTGAGACCTTGGACAACTTCTATTATTTCCTGTGTTTCCTCAGGAAAAAAGAGATAACATCAAACTCACTGGATTGTTGTGAATATCAGGTAAGATGCTGCAAACCTGCACAGCACAGTGCCTCACTCGTACAAGGAAAGTATTTAAAATATGTAGTGTTTACATACATCATCATTCGAATCTTTCTCTCCTGGACAGTGACCACTCTGAAAATAGGGACTGAGCCTTATTAATTTTTGGATTCCTAAGAGCTCAGATATTTATTGGATTGTAATAAAGACTTAAACTATTCCGCTGAATGAATGAATGCTCTTACTTGTCCTTAAATAGCTTAATTTATCATCTATTCAACATCTTCAGGCACTCTTCTTTCCTGTGGGTTCAACCTTTCCTTCTTGAAGCACATTAAGTTTCTTTTTTTTTTTTTTTCTTTTTTTTTTTTGAGATGGAGTCTTACTCTGTCGCCCAGGCTGGAGTGCAGTGGTACAATCTCAGCTCATTGCAACCTCTGTCTCCAGGGTTTAAGTGATTCCCTTGCCTCAGCCTCCCGAGTAGCTAAAATTACAGGTGCATGCCACCACGCCTGGCTAATTTTTATTTTGAGTAGAGATGGGGTTTCACCATGTTGGCCAGGCTGGTATCGAACCCCTGACCCTCAGGTGATCCACCCGCCTTGGCCTCCCAAAGTGCTGGGATTACAGGCATAAGCCACCGTGCCTGGCCAACTTTCTTATGTACTAAAATACAACTGAACTGACTTTGCTGCCAATTCTGATACCCTTCCTGATAAATTTTTAAAAAGTAAACTTTTTATTCAAATAAAACATGTATGTAATGCACAAGTTAGAAATACACAAGTTGGTGAATTTTTTTTCTTTTTTCTTTAATGTTTCGGTGACTTTTCATAAAGTAAACATACCCATATAACTATCAGAGGAATGAAGAACAGAACATTAACCCCTTTTGCTCACCATCCTTCTAAAGGTCATCACTAACCTAACTTCTAACACCATCGATTAGTTTTGCCTGGTTTTGAAATTTATAGAAATGGAATCATATATTATGTACTCTTTGATGTATGTCTGGCTTCTTTTGATAAATGTTACCTTTAAAATCATTTTATTTAAGACTTATTTAAGAACTTATTTATTCTTCTGTTGATGAGTATTTGGGTAGTTTCTAGTTTGTGGCTATTGTAATGCTGCTTTAAACATTCTGTGCATACTTTTTTGTGAGTACATTTCTAGAAGTAGATTGCTGGGGCCATGGAGTGTGGATATGCCCAGCTTTCACAGGTACTGCCAAACACTTTTTCAAAGTAATTATAATTCTTGCAAGCAGCAAGTATTTTTTTTAAATCCAGCTTGATCATCTTTGTCTTTTAATTGAAGTATTTCCAGTAATACTTAATGTAGTCACTGATGAATTGGGGTTTATATCTACCATCTTACTATTTGTTTTTCATCTGTCCTACTTATTTTATGTTCTTTTTTCTCCTTTATTGTCTTCTTTTTTATTAAACATTTTATATTTGATCCTTTTTCTTTTAGCTTGTGAATTATATATTCTTTAATTTTTTTCTGTAGTAGGTACCCTGAAAATTACAATATGTGACTTTGCTTTTATAATACCTAAAATCAATCAGTACTTTTACCACTTCGTAGGCAGTCCTAGAAACATACAATATTTTAATTTCATTGACTTCGTTTCCTTTATCTTATTGTTTTATTACTGTTTTGCCTGGCCAGTGTTCCTTTAGATTTAAATACATATTTACGCTCTCTGTTGCCCTTCATTCCTTCTCGCATTTCTGTGGTTCTGATTGGGATAATTTTCCATTTGCTTAAAGAAATCTCTTTCGTGTTTCTTTAAGTGCAGGTCTACTGGAAACTCCCTCAGTTCTTGATATCTTATAAATGTCTCTGCTGGACACAGTGGCTCATGCCTGTAATCCCAGCACTTTGGGAGGCTAAGTCAGGCAGATTACCTGAGGTCAGGAATTCGAGACAAGTGTGGCCAACATGGTGAAACCCTATCTCTACTAAAAAGCACAAAAAATTATCTGGGTGTGGTGGTGGGTGCCTGTAATCCCAGCTACTGGCGAGGCTGATGTAGGAGAATTGCTTGAACCCAGGAGGCGGAGGTTGCAGTGAGCCACGATTGCACCACTGCACTCCAGCCTGGGTGACAAAGCGAGACTCCGTCTCGAAAGAAAAAAAAAAGAAAAAAGGTCTTTATACTGTCTTCATGTTTGAAGGCTATCTTTGCAAATACAGAATTGTAGAATGACAGCTTATCTTTAAGATACACATTGTCATGCACCATATAATGACATCTTGATCAATGATAGACTGCATATACAGCAGTGTCCCCATGAGGTTATATAATACCATTATTTTTACTGTGCTTTTGCTATGTTTAGAAACACAAAT